CGAAATAGACTGAATATAAAACTGTCAGTGCAGGTCGTCCTCATGTTTAAATGTGGTTTCTGGCATTAGACAGCTGCCTTAACGCCAGACCTAATCCCACGAGCAGCACTGACCATGACTGACCAGGCACAGGAAAGCTCATCAAGGCTCCAAAGAACAGAACGTTAAAGGAAATAAGACGTCATGCTGGAGATCACACCGTTTGATCTCAGCAGTGAGTGTAGAAACAGACAGAAAGGCTTCTGGTAGGGTTGATGTTTTGTAGAATTAAATGCAGTCAAGACCACAGTAGCGTGACAAAGAGCAGAAAAGGGCTGTTGCAGATGAGATTGTCTGAAGTTGATGTTTTTTATTAACCTGATCAACTACAGCCTAGAGGAGCCTCAGATTTAACGAAATGCTTGTTAAATAAATCTGTTGAAATCAGTGGCCGAAAACAAAAATGTTATGTTGTTTTTCAGTCAACAATAAACTGTATAATGAGTGTGTAATTCACCAACCTTAAAATTCAACAGTCAGAAGACCTGATCATTGAGGAAAATGATCACTGATGTTGCCTCATTTTTCTATTGTTTATCAATTATTTACAGTTTAAAAAGAACCCGTTGAATAGAGGATGTTCACTTTGCAACTGCAACAGCAGAGTGAGGATCGTGTTTAACCTTGATGATACAAATCAAAAACAGCGGAGTGTTAATCTCTGTTAGCAGTACTTCACACAAACCCGTGACGCAGTTTTCACACATGTTGTGGATACAACACAAATGCGCTCACATTTTCCCGCGGTGAGGCAGCGACAGAAATGACAAAACAAGTCCTGCAGGGTCGTAATTCACCGCTGACTCGCTGGCTAATTTTCAAGCCCAGGATTGGTCCATGCCCTGTAAGACCCCATCTGTAGTACAGTGACCTAATTGTGTAAACTCAGCAGCAGATTGCTTGCCCAGCATGTTAAAGTACTTTTGTTCACTCCAGTTCTCACAAATACGCTGACAGAAGAGTAGGCAGCTTTTAAGGCCGCACAGATCACTATCCAGGGTCTGGACTGAGGACATCTCTACGTTTGTCTCGTTTCCAGATGGCCCTCGTCGGTCTGTCTCATCCATGTCCGGCAGCCTATGAACGACTAGCACACTATTAGCTGCAGGTTAGCTTGATGTGTACTTATCCTTATCCAGACGCAGTATTAAATGTTTCACTTGCCTCTTGGTGCTAAACATTCTTTCTTTTCTGCTGCTTTTTTTGGGCTGTACACAAACAGCAGTGGATACTGAGAGGAGGTTGGAGGGAGAACAGCAGCTGAAGGAGAGCAGAAATTTCCCTCAGGTGTTTGTAGAGATCAAAAACAGAAGCAATGTCAGATTGAAGGATGATAATTCCTTGGCTTTTTTTCCATGGCCCCTCAGGCAGATTCACTAGATAAACAGTTGATTGCAGTTTCTCATTCACGGGTTGTTAAATAGTAACATTTTGGAAAGAACAGAACAGAAAGCTCTTTGGACGGATGGACTATTTGTCTGTCTTGATTTACAGCACATATGTCAGGATCGAGGCTCGTGGTCTTATCATTTTGTGTAGTTTGATGTTATTATTTTGATAGAATTACATTTTCTATTTATTTTAATGAGGTGAAAATGTCATTGCAGTCTGTACAAATTCAATTTATCTGGTTGTCAGCACTAAGACTGTCCAGCCTGTACCTTACAATGTGTTTTCAATTTCAGCCTCTTGAGTGATGGAGTTTGACACCGCAGACTCGATAACCTGTAATTTCAATCTAAATTTTGGATTACAATGACAGGTTATTGAGTGTGTTAGGTCTGGCAAACGTAATCCCCAAACCAGAGGAGGCTGGATTTAACAATCCAACTGGGTTATAAATGGAATTAAAGAGTCATTAAAAAGAGGTGTTGAAAACTTGAAAAAAGTGCTTTTGCAAAGTACTCACGTATTGATGTGGGAAGAAATAATAGACAATGGGATCAGACAGAAGCAATGGATTGAAGAAAACGATGCCTCTCTGGCACCAAACAGATAACCAAGGCTGATCATTGTCAGACCCCAACCCTTATCCTTCTGTACAGTTATGTTCAAAAAATATATGCACTGTAAGAATTGATATTCAGAACATGTAGTGTATTTCTCACAGGCAGCGCTTTGAGGGTGTTTTTTATATGATATTTTTAGATTCACGCATCCGGTAAAGATTAATGTAAATACCTGACCTTTAGTGAGTAAGAAAAAAACCAACGACGTATCATGAATGTGTAATGAGTTTTAAATACAGTTGTAGCTGCATGTATGTGACATTTGCGTGTATTACACAAAGGAAATCCTAATTAAAATACACAATGACTGGAAACTTAGTTTATACCTGCTTGTACAATACGTGGAAACTCTTAAATCTGTGGTTGTACAGTTTATTTATGGTATAGTTTTTTTAATTTATTAGCTTTTTTTTTAACCTTCACCCTCCACTTAGAGGTGAGTCTCTCTGGTTTTGTATCTCAGGAGTTGACTGGAAAACTGTGGACTGGGTCCAGCGCCATGTTGCCATCAGCTGCTCGCCCGTAGGTGGCCTCTCAGCCCCGCTGCGTGCTCACAGAGACTGTCACATCGATCAGTGTCCCAGAGCGTGAGTCCTCCAACAGGATGTAGGTTTTGACTTCACATTAACTCAGGTCACACAGTGAAGGCTTCTATTTCTGACCGGACGCCTTGAAAGTCCGAGGCTGGAGGGTCAGTGGAGATAACAGTGGACTTTTTTTTTTATTTTGTCACATTTACATTTATGCATTTAGCAGATGTTTTTATCCAGAGACTTACAGAGGAGGATTGACATTATTAAGCATCCTCTGGGAATCGAACCCAGGACTCTCTACTCTTGTCTTGTCATACGGTGGTAGTGTGACTGCCTTTGTCTTCTCATCATCTCATATCTGCTCCCAGACCAAACGTCCAACACCATCAGGCATCATTCCCTCATTAGAGCTAAGCCAGGCAGCACTGGCCCGAGGTTGTCTGCTCCACGTCGCTCTCCAACCTCCACAAATGTAGGGCACATGCAGCACGGCTGGGCGTGTGTGTTTGCCTGGCTGTCACCTCACATTACTCCCTCATCCCCCGACAGCTGCAGTGCAGGGGTCAAGAAGAGGACCACTCCTTAATGCACGCATGATTTTTTTTTTTGTGGTTTACTACGACACAGTCCACGTTTCACACAGCGAGGACCAGAGTCCGATGTTCATGGATTATTGATGTGAGTCGACGCTTCAGGACACCACGAAGATGTTTGCTGCTGTAGGGATTTGTTTTTGTTTTTATTGTTTGTCTCTTTCATCGCCAACAAAAGTCTACTTGAATTATTCGACTGCTGAACTTCATTATCCTGCATCGAAGGGAAACATTTTAAGCTGTACGCCTCGTCCATTTTTCCTCTGGATCTGTCCAGATTCAGGGCCTGGAGATTTCCCCAGAGGGCTTGACATTATTACAGTCATTGCAGTGACCTTTATTTGCCCCTCGGTTGTCACCACCCCAGCTCGACTTGTCTACTAGTGTGTGTGTGTGTGTGGGGGGGGTTCAGGGGGTAGTCTAGCTGTCACGGCGTCTATCGCAGAGACAAGACACACATTCCAGTCAGCTGGGTCGGCCGTGTTCGTAATAATGACCGACCGCCTTCCCCCCAGAAGGCGAACGCATGCTGTGCTCTGTGCGCAATGCATAATAATCAGACGGCCGCGCTTATGTTGGCCTGTATGCATTATTAGTGCGTTCTGTTTGAAAAGCTGTTGATTTATTGTTTGTTTTCACATTGATGTTGGTAAAAATAAACCCCAAACTTCTTCTCACAAACTGCTGAATTCACATATCAGGTTAACAGAGGAGTGCTTCTCTGTTGATCTCATTTATGGAAGTGTGTGATCATCACTTCACAGATTCAATTTATTTCTACGATGCACCCGAATGCATCACGACACATTTACATTTTTCTTTATTCAAACAGACAAACCTAAAGGCAGTAAATCCACAGCCACATCACTTCTCTAGTATCTGCTTACACACATGCCTTACATGCAAAAAGTCCCGGGTTCGAGCCCCAGAGAAACCACATACTTAATGGCGCCTCCTGTGACAGGCTGTGCAAACACATGCTCTAAAGTTCCCCATTGAGTAAGTCATCGGAATGACCTTTTGATTATTAACATCAAGTCGTCATTTGATTTAATAATAAAACACTCACTGATTCATGTGCCACAGTTATATGGCAAATTTCCAGTCTTAAAATACGGAATAAAAGACAATATGTTGAAATAATCTGGATAAAACAATAACACCTTTAAGAGACACCCGAGTCGTCTGTGTCGTCTGTGTCTGTGTCTGTTGACTGGATGTGTCACCATGACAAAGTTGTTTTTCTGTCTGTCACATCAGAGCTTCATTGTCCCTGATGTTGATATGAGCTGCTTCAAATGTCACTGACAGTTTCCATTGGTCACAGTCTGTCGTGGGTGTTTGATGCTGCATGATTATTTATTTTTAAAGACCCTGACATTTGTGCGAGCGTCCACATTAATCTTTACTCTGCGGGAGTTTCAGGGAGCTTTATTGTCAATGAAGAAAAATAATCTTTTTACTTATTCTATGTGGTATTTATTGCCAGTAGAGATAAATCTAAGCGAAATAAGGGAGAAAAGGGATGATAAAAAGTGGATATTAAGTCTTGTGGTTAAACTAAACCTAGACTAGTTTCCCAAAATAGCTCAAAGTCCGGCGTTTACAGCTCCTGTTTTCCAGAAACTGTCCAGCCCGTGACCACCATCTCCTCGTCAGCACATAATTTTAAAGGAGGTTCTTTGTGATTTGGAAAATAATTTGCCCTTGCTGTGGTTTACTGGTTTCTCTAGACGTTCTTTCTTCTTTTTTTCTGATGCATTGAATTTAAACCTCATCATCCGTCCACGTGCACATGCATCAGTGACGTTTCCTTCTTGTTGCAGAGGACCGCGTCCAGAAGCAGAGCCTGCAGACGGCCCAGAACCTCCTGCAGGAAGAGGTGGCACGTGCTGAGGAGCAATCAGAGGTAACAACCAGACAAAAGATAAAAAAAAGACTGCAGCTCTTTCTCTGCTGCTGCTGCCGTCGATTCCTGAAAATCCCACAGCCTCGCTGGCAGCCCACCCACCACTATGGCCTCTGGTCCCTGCAAAAGCCTGAGAAATACACATACAGGAGGCAACATCTGAGGCAAACACGCGGCGTATCAGCCTCTCTTACATACAGGATGTTGAACATGTGGTCCAACAATCAGACGTCAGATGTTTCATGCATTTAGGGAACTAAAAAAAAGCCCAGGTACTTCCTGCTGCTTTGTTCTGCATGTGTCCACATCCCACACGGTGAAGGCACATCATAAAGACGTGGGTCCTTTGATTGAGTCTTCAAATTGACTGATTCAAGAAACCATAGAGAAGAAAGAAGCCAAGAAACCTGGCTTTCTTGTGCTGTAAATCGTAAAGGCCACGGGGGGCCTGGCACTGGAAAGTTCCTAGAACTTCTTCCCCTGAAAAGGAAAAATGTAGTGTTTGTTCAGCGGGTCTTTGAGAGAACTGTGAAGAAAGAAGCCCTCGGTCATAATAATATGATTCTTCTTCTCTTTATGGTCAGACTTTTGTATCCAGAGTGTTGTTAAAGGAGACATTTGGCATTTTTCAACAAAACAAATTCCATTGTTCCAGTTCAACGAGTTCTCAGTAGAAAAAAAATTAAATATTTTGAGTCAAAAGTACCTGAATAAGTATTAGTCGGGCAACTGTTTGTCAGGTCGTTATAAATCTAATCTTACACTGTGCCTTTGCCTACATGCTCAAAATGTCATTACAAGTGAAGTGTAACATGATACATTTTCTTATGAAATGCTAATTACATTCACAATTAAATATTATATACATATTTATTTATTCCCTCTCGTGGAACTCCACGAGAGGGAATAAACTCCTCCCTGTTGTCACAGGGAGGAGTTGCAGTGTAGTTTGATATCAAGGTGCTGCCTCGGTGTGAAATTTATTGTGCGTGAGCCGCCCGTAGCCCCGACCCTCAGATTAGAGACCGCTCAAGGTTCAACACTCAACATAAAAGTCAAGCGCTGAAAGAGAAATGACGTTGCAGCATGAATAATCTCCTTGTTGTGAGCAGAATACACAGATCCACTTCAAATCCTACATGTTCCTTTGGCCTTGATCAGAGCAGAGCAGGAGTTTGTTCTACAGATGAAATCCACTCTGCTGCTGCTGCTGCTGCTGCTGCTGCTGCTGCTGCTGCTCCTGACTCACATTGATTTTCTCTACCTCCCCTCCCCCCCTTCCTCCCTCCCCCACATCTCATGGCGTCAATCAATAACCTCCTCCCAGTGTCTTTACAGCATCTGTGCTCTGATTGATTAGGGAACACCCAGCACACACTCAACACAGCAGCTGAACAAATGCAAAGAAAACACCCCGACACACACTTGTCAGTAAATACATCAGAGTTTACTTGAAGGCCTGTAGCTGACATCTGTGGTGAAGCATCTCCAGGTCCTTGACGTCTGTCCCTCCTGTGGAGAGCACAGACGCAGGTGCTTTGAACGCAACAGACAGTGTGATGCGAGCCTCTCGTCTCTCCAGGGCGTTAACCTTATTGGCTCGCTCACGTAATCGTGTCTCGTTGTGCGACCGTGTTTTAGCATGAATCTCATTTCACCCGTTGCCTCTTTTACATGGTTCTATCCCCACTTTGCATGTTCTGTCAAACATACAGCCCGCGGGCCAAAACCGGCCCGCTAGAGGGTTCAATCCGGCCCACTTTATGAATTTTGAAAGTGAAAAAAATCCACATACACTTCATGGTCTTGGTGTTTTGTCAAATTATATTTCATTAAATACAAATATTTTCTATTATACTTATACTTTTTGCAAGAAAACAAAGGGAGAAAACATGAAGTTATTGGTACATATAGGTCATTATGCTGTCATTGTGCTGGTCCAGTCCACTTCACATCTAATCAGACTGTATGAGGCCCCTGAACCAAAATGAGTCTGACACCCTGGTCTAGATTTTCTGCTATTGGCGTCCCCGTTATCTTGTCACATATCTGACATATATTTTACGTCAAAAACAAACTAAAAATAAGTGCTGACTCCACACAAGGACAGACTTCAGACTTTCTGCGTTCTCAACTGATCTCATTTCAGATTAAACCCTCAGAGAATCTATATCACCACAGCAGAAAGAAAATGCTCCATTTTAAGTCTTGTTTTTTTTCCCAGCAGCCGTAAAGACAAGAGAGATCACACACTGTTGTTTTCAAAACAGCTTTTTTATGATTGCGATTTTTTTTTTTTTTTTTTTTTTTTGATGCAGGTTTTTTAAATCCACAGTTGTGCTTTGTTTCTCAGGGTTTTTTTGGAATGGCTGCAAATTTGTTTTTGGAGTTTTTAGATTAAATTGTCAAGCTAGTTTATGCCCAATTTATATTTTGGCCAGACGTAGATAAAACTGAGCTAAATGTTGTAGATAACAGTAACCGAATAAACAGCATTAACAACTAAAGGTATTTCAAAGTATAGAAAAGTAAAAAAAAAACAACAAAAAGAATTCAATTACAAATGGACCAAAAAGATGGATAGATAGCTAAACGGTTAGCCTAAAAGTTAAAATTGCCATAATGGAATGTAATAATAATTTAGCCAAAGTTTTACTAAATGATGATAAAACTACAAAATGCTGGAAAAGTGTGAAATCTGAATCTGAGAAGTTATTGAAAGTGTGAGTATGGGAAAATGTGTGAGAGCATGTCCTCGGAGTCAGGAGGTAATTATTCAGTCCTCCAGCATTTTCACCTGTTGCCTTAAGCCAAACAGCTCCCAGTTTGGGAGGATTCCTCATCAGGTACAGACACGATCAGCGATATCCGATTAGGAAAAACAAATTTCTAACTTGTTAATGTCATCTTTGCTCCTACAAATTACACACAGCTGAGTTCCTATGGCTTCAGAACCCCACCTCCCCCCCCGCCCCCAGAGTCAGGTCGGAAAATATGTGCAGCTATCACCTCACACTCACAGTCTTAGGTTCACCTCAAGTTAACGTCATCTTTCTCACTGGAATTTTCTCATTTTACGGAGTCAGAACGAGAAAGTTTGAGGCGATGATTGGACTGACAGCCTGACAGCCAATGGCATCGCATGGCGCCTGTTAGTGACTGAAGTACCTACGAGTGGCTGGTTGGAGTGGAAAATTAAAAAGAGATTTTAATCAGGTAACTTTTCATTTGGATAAGAAAGTGTAATTCAAATTAATGAAACCCTGGGGCCGACGCTCCTTTGTGTTTAATTGCCTTTTAATCAGTGAATCAAAAATAGAACATGCACCCATAGATTTTCAGTAAAAGAACCAAACAGTTCAGTCACAGACCGGAAATGAGATCACAAGTCGATGGAGCACCAATATGTTTCCTCTGCAGCTCAGCTGGGTGAAGTACAGTCATTGCAGTGGAACATACGTCTGGTCAGGATCCCTGCTGGACGTCTCCCTGGTAACTGTTCAGGAAACACTCGTCCAGGAGGAGATCCTGAGGCACTCCCAGAACACGCTGCACAGATCACATCTCTCAGCTGGCCGAGGAGAACCTAGACATCCTCCCAGAGCTGTTGATGGAAGGGTTTGGAAAGAGTAGTGTTTGTTTTCTTCAAGCTACAAGGAGAAGAGATTGGAAAGTGAGTGAGTTCAAGTACCTCGGGCCGAACATTAGGAGGAGAGAAAAGGGTGCAGACAGGAGGGGATGGATGGACTTGAGTGTCAGCAGTGATTTGTGACGGTGGAGTAGCAGCAAACCTTAAAGCCAAGGTTTATAAAGACCTGCTGTGACGTACGGTTCAGAGACAGTGGCTGTGTCTAAGAGACAAAAGACTGAGCTGGAGGTGGAGGAGAAGAAGATGCTGAGATTTGTTAGAGATGGAGTCACCTAGATTTGCAGATGCCCATAGAGGTGGGTGTGGCAAAGCAGCGGAAGGAAGGAAGTCTTGTAGAGACTGCCTTTGCCAACAGGAAACAGATTAGCAAGCGAGCGAAGACACAATAAGATAGTCTAAATGTAGAGTACTAAACACTGTTCATTTGGACTGTTCCTGTGGAGGGTGGAGCTCGACGTACAAGGGATCAGATTCATGTCCTAACACTGAGGGGAGTAAGAGGAGGTCCCGTGTTAAATCTCCTGCCGTGGTTTATTGTATAATAAAGCCAAGAGCTGCAGCATCAGCACAGAGATCCATCTGTGGAGTCAGAACACGGCCGGCCGCGGCAGAAACACTGTCGCTGCCCTGAAATTTAACAAGCTCTGGCGGGAACTGCTGCTCTGTACGGACCAGAAAGGCCAATAAATTCACTCCGACCTAAAGGTGGCTTTAATGGCAACCTCACACCAGATGGAGAAGCACCAGCCGCACAGTGGGCCGGTCCACGGCAGAGAGTGGGGAGGCAATAAACCAGAAACTTCACGCATCATATGGTGCTGTTGACCCGGGGGCGAGTGACAATTAATGAAGGGGCAGTGAACGAGTCGACGTGTGTGGATTTATGTGGCAGCAAAGTCGTGGGGAAGATTGAATGGTGTTTCCTGTTAGAGATAATTCTGGTGTTTATTTTACTGTCAGTGAAGATTCTCTGATCAACCAGGACTGTGACCCAACACCAGAACCAGAACCAGGACCCTGACCACCGCTCTCACCGACAACATCAATATTTAAATTTAAATTTGAAATGTAAAGCCTGACTCCAACATATGAACTGATCTACTGTGATCACAAATCCAAGGCTGTGAGGAGAGAAAACGTCAGGTCTGAAATACACTCATAATTCTATGAAGCTGAATTTTGAGTTGTACTTTGAAATATCAGTCACAAATAAAAACACCAACAGAGCTCAAAATGAGGTCGTATTTACCTGAATTGTTAGTTCATAAAATAATCGTTTGACAAGCTTAAAAATAACATTAACAACTTTCTACATAGTAGAATCTGATATACAAAGCCAGCTGAACAGAAAGTGAGCAGAGCTTTAACACCGTGTCCTGCTCTGAAACCACACCGTGGCCCTGTTCCCTTCAGCTCTGTGTGAAAATGACTTAGTTTTAAAGCAGTTACTGTGACTTATGACAGTTTTTCAACACAAATAACACGTCTGCTCTCAAACTTCAGAGTCTGCAATGTTGACTCCTCACACGCTGAGAACACAGAGAGGGAAATATCACACGGCTTTCAACCGGGGCCAAACCAAACACTCCCTGCTCCATTGTGAGACGTGTAAAGCGTTGTTACAGTAAAATATTGCCGTCCGGACAAACCGTGCCAAGGTTCGTGGGTAAACATCCCACAGATGATTAAATCCTCTTTATACTTGGAGGAGTTTGTTTGAACGACTCCTCCGCGGTCGGACCTCCCTTTGTGTGTTGTCCTTGTCTGCTGACACGGCTTTCTTTGTCTCCGCTGCTTCACAGGAGCTGCTGGAGAAGTTCATGGAGAGGAACGTGAGCCTGGACGAGTTCTTGGACTCCTTCCAGAGCTCCAGGAAGACGTACCACGTCCGTCGGGCGCAAGCGGAGAAGATGCAGGAGCTGGTTCGGGCCAAGCAGCAGCAGCAGCAGAGCAAGACCAAGACGGAGGAAGGAAGCAAAGTCCCCGAGGTGAGGAGAGACTCGGAGCAGCCCAAGGAGCCTCAGCGGCCCAACGGCTTCGTCGCACAAGGACCTTTGAGGGTGTTTCAGGTACGCTACGGTCTCACGCCTGCCATCCTCCTCCCCCATTACCCCGTTTCTCCCCCGGCTTCTGCGCCAAACCATCAGAGTAGTGCCCCAACAGCAGAACCCCACCTAGGACAGACCCACATCCTCAGCCCCAGCGCCCCTCTACCGGGACATGGGCAACCTGTGGGCCTTAGAGTCATCGGACAGCTATCAGGTGGTTGGCCACCTAGTGGACGGCCGGTGAGACTGCAGCAGCTTTACAGGCCCAACCCACAGCAGCCAGAGCCGCCGTTCCGATAAACTCCCAGTAGGCGGAGCCGGGAAGAGGAAGTGGAGACGGAGGAGGATGAAAAGCCAGATTGAAAGGTCTTCTACCGTGAGGGACCAAACTGAGTCTGTCACACTCATGTAGACTGGCCCAGAGGTGGACAGCACCGCTGACCTTTGTCTCTGTTCTCCACCCACGACACACGGTCTGAACCATCAGAGGAAAGTGTGGACGGACAGAGAGGTGGCCGAGGGCGGGGGCGGCTAAAATCTTGGGGGAGGGGCTCGGAGGCTTAGACCTTTTTGAAAACATCCGATTTTTGAAGCACATAAAACTCAACCCATCGCACACAAAAGAAAACAGTGAAATAAAGAGAAGTGGATCAAGGACACATATCTGGAGTTCAAACGTTTTGAAAAGCTGCTGGATTTTTACAAAACATTTCCAACTCTCTTCAAGAGTTCAATGGTAGAAAAAAGGATGTGAACACCTTTAAGCTTTATCTTGAAGAAAATATTTTTTTTCTTTTTACATATGAATTCCATATTCCACGTTATTATGCAATCTGCCTCAGCAGAAAAGAACGGAATGTGGTTTTATGATCCAGGTGATGAGAAAATACGAATCGTGAAAAATGTGTCCTTTAACGTAAGACAACTTTAGTAAGGATGTCCAGGGATATCAGTTAGCCCAGGCATAGGCAAACTAAGGCCTGGGGGCCGGATGAGGCCTGTTCTTTTTTAATCCGGTCCGCCAAACTTTTCCAAATCATATAATTTATTTATATTATCATTACACCTCTACCTTTCCCCTGCAATACCCACGTTTCCCAATAGATGGCAAAGAAGAAGGCATTTTAGCATTTTAGCCTTTATGCATGACTTGTTATTTATCTGAGTTCACATGAGGGCTCCATCTATCTGCTCCTACCCCCCCCCCCCCCCCCACTATTTTAGCCCTGTTCAGTTGCGGTTAACCGATATTATTGGACATCCTTAAATTTCAGTTAATTCCAACAATAGGCACGATAGCGCCACCTGTTTAAAATATACAGGAAGTGGTTTTTTTTAATTGTAAATTTAGATTTTAAGAATTTTACAGCTAAAAAGGCTAAATCATCGATTCAGAAAGTAAATTTACCCGAAATGCGTTCGAGCCTCGTCCCGATGGTTATTTTCTACTTGTTATCATATTGTTACAGTTACGGTGTGAAGCACAAGAACATGAAGCTCGTCAACAGACAATAATCAGCTGTAAAGTCTTTACTGTTTGTCCACAGTGAAGAGGAGAGTCAGAGGATGACGGAATCATGCTGTGTTTAATGTAAACAAATGTTTGTTTGTTTTTTTGTTTTTCTTTTTAACTCGTCAGTTAAAACAGTTATTCTGGGAACAGAGCTCCCAACGTCATGAATGCGGATTTTTACGATTTCCTCCCGGAGTTCAGACAAAGACGTACTGTAAAGAAGAACCGGAGGTATTTATTAGTCTGGCCCAGACTGTGACATGTCAGTGCTGTTTCCTGTGTCCTGTGTTGCTGTGTGAGCGTATGTGTGTGTCTGTGTGTGTGTGTGTTTTAACATCTCAGACAATTACCCAAAGCCTTCTGCCTTTTTGTGCATCTTTAAACCCCAGTGTTGCAGCTCACACCTGGCTGAGCCGCCTTTATTTATTCATGTAAATCCTGTTTTCAACGGCGTGACTTCAAAGGTTCTGGTTTGAAACCGTACGAAATGAAGAGCTGCTTTTTTTTTTTTTCTTTTTTTTTTGTCTTCTTAATTCTCATCCTTGAACTGAGACACACACAGTAAAGGGGGCGGAGTTTAGTCTCTGTGAGAATCTCTGTGAAGCCACTCTGCGGAATCGTTCTCTCCACGTCCTTATTTCACTTTGTTTTCTTTTTTTTAAAGGGTGTGAACTCTTCTACTGAGGTTGTAGTAATTCTCTGGAACATACGTTCTTCTCATCAATAACTCGTACAAGTGCATGCTTACAACAGCTGAGTACAAGAAAATGCCTTCTGCAGGCCAGTGACCAGTTACGAAGAGAATATGAACCAAACGCTGCCAGTTGGGAAAATGTAGTTGTTGTTTTTTTATTTTTTATTTATTGAGTTGATATATACTGTATTTGACTGTTTACAGAAGGGCTGTCGCTTTTTGTCCGAAATTAAGACATCTTAACCTGTCAGAATTTAAATTTTCAGGTCACAGACCAGGACATGTCACATGACCTAACCACATTAAAAACTAATGCTGAATTTGAAATTCTCAAGACTGAAGGTTCGCTTAAAATCTACACATTTTCTACAATAGCAGTAATTTTTTTTTTAATGTTAATGTGCCAAAAAAATGAGACAAACTTGAGTATTTAATGTTTTGGATAATCAATTATTATCTGAACAGACTCATTATGCTCTAAATATTATAGAATATTCTTGACAGAACTCACCAAGATTTCTTTAAATGTCAAAATTTTTATAACTAATTAATAATTAACATAAAGTATGCATTTGTTCCCAGTCTTTATGCTAGGCTAACGCCCCCTGGCTGTAGTTTGACGTTCAAAGAAAGGACAAAGACGCCTCGTCCTCTGTAACTGGACACTGGCCTTCGGTCAGACATGCAGTCGAGGGTCTGTCGGTGCTTTTAAAACATGTTGCACAGATGGAACCGTGGACCCACGGATGTGATGTTTGATTACCCACAATCCCCTCATCAACACACATCACCTTCAACATTCCACCGTTGCATCGAGATTTGACTGAATGTTGTAATAAATTGTTGTAATACTGAAAAAAAGAGGATCTTTTGTCCAACTCTGTCTTACATCACACAGTAATTCACCAAATCTAAGTAAACTTTCTGACTCGGTTCAATTGTTTCACTCTGAAAAATCCCATTCATTTTCAGGTCTGAAGACCACGGTTTGTCCAGCAGCCGTATCGTTCGTGGAGTTTGGTTTATTGTGTATCTCTTTTTTTACCGCCAGCAGCCTCCTTCTATAAAAACAGCGGTAATAAAACAGGTAAATAATAAATGTCAATTCCCAGGTTTAAATTGGAATCTGCTCTCTCGGCCAAACGCCTCCCGGGGCTTTGCTGCGCTCAGATGAAGTATCTGCGACTGCAGGCGTTTGCAGCAGGTGATGGTGAACCATGTCAAAGCTGATCACCGCTGCAGTGAGTGAACACCGGCTAATAATATCCCCCGTCAGCTCGTTTCTGTCCGTGTGTGCAGCCCAGTCGCTGCAGCTCTGTGTTACAGCACATGAGAGTGGACGTACATGGCTGTCAAAGACTGTCAGAGTCAGGAGGAAACCTTTAATGTGCTCTGATTCTGAAGGGGAAGAGCAATACATGTATATATACATATATCATTTTTTTTTTGCATATTTTGTTCATTGAACTGTAAATATCTTTTTAAAACCATCAGTTTGTTTGAAAAACCAATGGGAAACTAATGATTTAAACGGTGGAATTCCTTATTTCCACGTGAACACAGATGTTTGAAGCACAATCGATGGGTGAAATGCTACTTATGCAGGTAGAGGTGATTATTTATTCATGACAGGCAGCAAAATGACACCAAATCTCCGTGGTCTTTGGGGAGAACGTGTTTTCTGTCTGCATCACGGAGAAAAAGAAAAAAGAATGCTAATCACCACTGCCACAACCGATCACATTTGATCTTTTTTTAAAGATGTATTTTCAACCAGGGGAATTATACATTTGTTATTGTATTGTAAATACTAACATTTTCTGGTATACATTAACTTTAAGATAGATTTATAACTTTTCCACATATTGGCTCAGTTTTATCTGCTAAATGTGAAACAGACACACTGACTGTTCAACATTCCACGTGTAAGTTTTCCAACTACCGAGTTTGAAGTAGCATTCAAATTTCCCAGGGTAAGAGACACTTGGCCCAGTTTCTGAGGCTGAAGGAGTTCGTTCACTTAACTCACTGTGTTCAAAGTGATCCTTTACACTGTGACAGTGACGACTGCCATAATTAATATTTCTCTGACTTCAGAGCAAAAACACTGCACAGAACAAGGAACAGGAGCAAAATCCCTGCATAACAATTTACATTCACTTGTGCTGTGCATCATAATAAGTTTATGTAGGTTATGAATTCACCAGAGGTGTCAAATTTATCTGAGGGGAGAAACAGAGGCGGAAGGGAAAACATGAATTTTCTACTAAATTACATTATACTTTTATGACTGAGAGAAGGAAATAAACAGAGGCTGGAACTAGAAGACGTCAGATTTTTAATCAGAGTTGATTTTAGCCACAATCACAAGACTATATGAACTCTGAATTGATCAAAACTGAAATTAATGATTTTAAAAACTGAAGTATAAATGTATTTCCTACTGTCAGTGTTTGCTGGTTCTCAATAGCTATATAAAGATAGACTTTTTTCTATTTATACTTTTAAATGTATATTTTTGACCTTTGACCTTTTGACTGGCTAGTTATTGTTTATTTTTTAGTTAATTCCTAGGCTAATCCTGACCTATTTTTGGTCCCACGTGTCGACATTTGACACTAAATAATGTTAGCTTGTTGGCTACGTATGAGCAAATTCAGTCAACTATTAGCGAGGATTCTTTCAGCTCACGGTTTTGCTGATGCGTTACCTTTTCAATAACATCTTTCATTGCCACAATAAACAACATAAAATATATAAAAGACTACAGCTTTGACCACAACGAGTCCTGGGGGAATCAGTTTCTAGCTTTTTTTCAACTGCCTTTGTGTAAATCATATAAACAATCACCTAACGGTGAAACACAACGTTCTTTCACTGGAACAATCAACGGTGAAACACAACGTTCTTTCACTGCTGGTTTATTCTGGAGTCATAAACTGGAGCTGAAAACCGAACACTTCCTCAGAACTTACCCAGAGCTGATCCCCGAAAACCTTAAAGTTCACCTTCCATGGCAGATTTATGTAATGAACCAGTGTCTGTGGTTGGTTAACATTTCCCATGTCAGTCGGCCAAGAAACACACGACATTTAGTAGAAATGACAGGAAAATGAATCACATCTGTGACTGTCATAAACCTGACCATTATTTTTTTTCTCTCTCTCTGACATTAAGTGGACACTGTAAAAAGTCAAACTATAGCGGCTCAGTATCTCATAGTTCCAGATTTACACAGGCAGTAACCGGCATCAAGGGAACAGGAAGAAAACGATCTGCAGATGCTAAAGGCAGCAGGTGTGTGTGACTGAGACGTCCCCGGTTTATGAACATCAGACGTCCAGCTGTGAGAGACAATCACGGCCTTTCACTGACGTCTCCACGTCTGGGACAAACAGGCTTCACACACACACACACAGGAGTTTGTCTTTGTGTTTCACACAGCCCTCGCTAACTGGGGTAACGTTCAAAACATCTCCTGGCTAACTGATAGCATTTTGTTTCTAACTTTCAGCTAAATATTTTACGTCTGGCGTACGTTAGGTTGTTTCTGGGCCAACATGTTCCTCCAAGGTTCCTCTGTTTTGTGTTTTACTTGTTTTTTCTACTTATAGGAAAATTGATTCTTTGCTAGAGCTCAGCTTTTTGTGAATGTTTGAATTTATGTCAGTTGTATTTTGTCTGATTTTGAGCTTCTTGCCATCAGTTGTTACAAATATTATAGTTATAGTTATATTATAGTGTCTCTAATGTTTCATTTGTTTTCCTTGGCTAACGTGTAGCGCTTCTCTGCTAACTTGTTTTTTTTTTTGATAATTATAAACTTGGTTTTTGTTCCTTTTTTATTTCAGCTTTGTGCAACTTGTTAATTCTGCCAACATTTGAGTCTTTGTCTAACTTGTTAATTCTGCCAACATTTGAGTTACTTTCTAATTAGCCTTTTCATTAAAATACCTGTGTACCTATCTTTTTTAGCTCTTTGTTCTTAATTATAAATTTTGGCTAGCTTTGCTTAACTTTAGCCTAGCTATTTGTACCAATTACTTTTGGCTAGCTTTGCTTAACTTTAGCCAAGAAATACTAGTGTAAACTCAGTTGCCTTTTGGCTGCTCTTAGGCTACTTTTGGCTAGCTTTATTCTTGTTCGCTATGTTTTTGGCAAACATGTTAGCCATTCCCTGGCTCTTTTAATAAACTTTGGATTTATTTTTACAAATGTCTTGACTTAGTTTAAGGTATTCTTGGACCTTGAGGTATCTTTTGGCCTCACTTCCCAATTTCCTGGCTAACGGTTGCAGGGAATTTGTATTTGATTTTTCTTCTTAAACAGCGTGTATTAAGTGAATTAAATGCAGCTGCAACACGTCCTCGGGGAATGTTTGTGCAGCTGATGCTCACGAAGCAGCTGAAGAAGGCGGAGAAATTTATGCTCAAATATTTATAAGATGTGCATTAGGCGAAACGCAGCCTCTCTGTGGGACGGCGAGAAGCCGCTAAAGCATCATGTGATGAACATTTTAGTTGGCAGTGGAGCAGCTGCTCAAACGAGACGCTGTCTGAATGTTTACCGAAACAATGAGAAACTGCTGCTGCTGATGCTGATGTGTGTGTCAGTGAGGGAGGGAGGGAGGGAGAGAGAGAGAGGACGCATTCTTGTCTACTTAGAAGTAAGTGAAGCATTAAATTTTATTTATTTATTTGTCTCTTACTGGTCAAACCTTTTTGAGGGGTGGGAGTTGGGAGCTGGAGCCAATCACAGAAGTCATCAGGTGAGGGCGTGGTCAACCCCATAGACACTCAGGACAATTTAGAGTTTTTGGACTGTTGAAAGAAAAAAACTGTGGTTTTCTTGCTCAAAAGCAAGAACGGCGCCCCCCTCCGTGTCACCACTAGTTATTTATTTATTATTGTCACAGGTCATTTACCTTGAACAAAAAACAGAGATGGATAAGGCCGTAGAAGACGGTATTATGTCATATTTGATTTCAACATGTGCCGTTTGAATCCCTTAAAAGAACAATTATTACGACTGATTTCCTAAACACGGAGGAACATAAAGTTCTCTTGATGTTTTGGTCCCCCACGGAGTCATGGAACTCGGAATCATAAAGTGTGTCTAGGACTACATGAAGAGACAGTAGGGTTTGAGGAGGCCAAAAAAAAGACAGAAGACCTGTGGTGAGTTGCCTTACAGAAATAATGTCACTCGTTCAATCCTCAGTGGGTTTTTGTTTTTCTTCAAAATATGTAGATTAGTTTAATTAGACTAACTGACTCATGTGGCCCTGAAATTGATTCTAGAACCTTCCAGGGTTGACAGTAAATGTACTGTACAGCTGTATCTGTGTCAGTGTGACCCTTTGTTGCTTAAATGTGGGCTGGAGAAAGTACTCTGGATTGCGGAGTACGTTCTACTTGTGGGTTTTTTTTTTCTTTTCTTTGATGCAACATTTCCCTTTCCTCTGTGTCTTTAACAAACTGAAGGATTTCAAAATATCTGAAATTTTACTTCACCACAATTTTCACATCTGGGATTTCATCGCAGACAAACCACTGAAAGCAAACACAGCTGCCTTCTCACTCACGTCCATCTATCTCCGCCGCCACATCAGTGGACTCAGACTCTAAAGCTGCATCAGTGGTGGTGAGGCAGCAGGGACAGCAGCGGCATCTGGTTTGAAAATTGAAATGTCACAGAAACTATGGATGAATGGGCCAAAAAAGAGTTTCTCACAGGATGAAATTTTAGGGACACAGAGAACAAAACTGGTTTTTCATTTCCTCAAGTTTCAGGAAGACAGTACAGGTCAGAGGTGAGTGGTGAACGTCATATAAAAAGAACTCATTGATATACTGTTGTTGTTTCATTGTTATTTCCCAAGTTTGGAAAACATTATTTGGAAACACGGAAGTTCAAAAACGTATCAAATGGAAAACAAATCCATCAAATGTCATAACCAAATGTGACCTCTGCTTTTAACCCATTAACTTGGCAGCTGCTGGACTCAAACCTAGGGATGGTGCCTTGCTCAGAGAACCTCAGTGGTAACTTGGCAGCTGCTGGACTCAAACCTAAAGCCTTCCAGACCCAAGTCCACTCCCTTAACCACTGAGCCACCACTGCCCCTTTAGTTATTCATAGACAATATTGAGTAATGATTCGACAACTATTTCAGCTTCTTTGTGTAGCTTTAAGGTGGTCTTCCGTACGTGGGTGGGTGAGGTTAGATTTTCTTCTTCAGCTTTAGTGTTACGTTAGCTAGTGGTAGGAAGCTACAGGCAGGACCCGAAGCAGCGCTACGGAGACTCTCTTTAGGAGCAAAGAGTTTCTTCTTAAATCAAATAAACAAACAAAAGGTCACAGGACCAGAACCAGGGCCAAGCAGGAACACGGAAACATCACACAGTCACAGCCACAATGAACAATGGTCCGATGAAGACAGGGTGAGGAAGAGAGAGCTATAAAAACAGAGGACAGCAGCTGACACCACTGAGACAAATGAACAGGTCGCCACAGGACACAGGTGAGTGTGATGTCACTGATTAACCCTGGAACACAGGGGAGGAAAAGGGAAACAGACAGACAGACAGACAGACAGACAGACCTCACGTTTAGTTTAGCCACTTAGAAACATGTAGCTATTTTTACAGAAACTGAGCTTTTTTTCACCGTATGAGCCCTCTTGTTGTTCTGGGTTGTGTTACAGATGCATGTAACCTATCAGTGGTGCTGGAGTCAGAGAGGAGGGGGAGACGGGAGGGGATGTCGGGGGGTGCGGGGGGGCTTTTTTGTACTTGCTTAATAAGCCCCCTGCTTCCCTCAGTGACCCACAGCCTTCCCAGGATGTGGAGTCAAACCAGCACGCTTCTGATTAAAACCTGAATTTTAAATTATCCTAGGCCACAAGCTCCTCAAGTTTTGGTCCATCTCAGGTTACTTTGGTAGTTCCTTTGTCTACATTTTAGGTTTCCTTGTGGCTTAGTGAAGTATTTTGGTTCTTTTTTCCTTTTTTGTTAAGTATAGTTTTGCACAACAATCCCTTTTGCGTGTGTTTTTACGAGGCCACTGACAGACTTTCTTTTCTGGATGTGACCCCGTCCGTCCACCTCCGTCCGTCCGTCTCCTTGGGTTCAGTCTTCCGTCACTCCTACACCTGTTTCCTGTTTCCTCACGATCTCCACTTTAATGCATGTTCTGTCTTTGCCGCTCTACGTTTCCTGCTCACTTCCCTCTGTGTTCCTGTAAATTCACTGAACTCCCAGCTGAGACCTGGCACTTCACTACAGCGCTCCATGATTTAGTTTCACAGCGACAGTGTCCGTATCTTCTCAGTGACGCCATCACATGAGGAGAGAATGTGATGGTTATCAGTCAAGCAGCCCTGGGCTTCCTTCAGATTAAACACTTCCCTCTGTCCTCTCATCTTTATCTTCTCCCCCCTCTTCCTCCTGCTCCTCTCTCTCGGCTCCTTCGCTCACTCTCTCTTCATTGTTATGCAGATGAAGCCCAGTTAACTCAACTCGGTAGAAAATCGGAAAAACAGGAGACAATCCATTTCAGATGAGCCTCTGCCGAGCTGACAAAAGTCTTCTTAAAGGAACAGCGTGAGCCACTCTGAGTTTCAAATACAGCCTGGAAAAATACTGCTGATGCTGATGCTGATGCTGATGCTGATGCTGATGCTGATCTTCTTCATCTCATGTTTTTAATGATAATGATGACTGTTGTGTCAGGGGTAGTTACTGTGTCCTGTTTATGCTGATGGTGTTATCATACGACTGATGACAATGATAAAGAGAGATGAGAAAGAATAAGCAGCAAACAAATGATACTGGTGATAATGGTAATAATGGGGATGCTGTAATGGTGTTTAGGAAGATTGTGACACTGCTGAAGATGATGATGATGATGATGATGTGATGATGAAGATAATGGTGTGGCTAAGATAACCCTCATCTCTGTGTTCCTTCCAAACTCTCGCGGACTAATGCCTGGCTGTGTTACTACAGCAGTGTCAACAAAGCCTGGCTCAGGGCCATCTGCATTCATGGAGCTCTGGTACTGCTAATGCAGCGGTGGGTTTTCATGCAGCAGCTCTACCTGCTGCTCAAACTGTGGTACTACAAGAGTAAGGCATTAAAAATAACTGTAAGTCTCGATATTTTCTGTCGCTGGTTGATATTAGTGCAGGAAGTTTTTAGACCTCAGTGAAAAGGACACATTCTTAATATGTACATTTCATTTATAATTATTTTATATTAATTATGTTTGCCTAGTTTCAGTAGAATTTTAATCAAAAATATCAATCTTTTTTCAAGTGAAACAGACTTTACCACATGCTTTTGTCTTGATGTATTTGCTGCAGTCTTCAGTCTGTTTTCCCCAGAGACTGTTCTCAGAGACGTCTCCCACAACATCCTTTAATTAACTTATGTCTGTTCTAACTACCGACTTCTCCCACAACATCCTTTAATTAACTTAATGTTGTTGTAGATCCTTCTTCAGCTGTCTTCACCACTCCATCTTAGCTTTTTGTGAACCACTGCAGCAGTAAAACACAAAAAGTCACACTTTTATTACGTATTTAGTACATTTTATTTTTAATGATTTTTATTGGACCTGATTTATTTTTAGTCTCCCATGTAACATGGGGTCAGTAACGTACTGTAGATCATCTAACATAACATAACGTAACGCAGAGCATCGTTTGAGGATGACTTTTTCTCAGTCATGTGGAAGAATGTTGCCACAAACACATTTCCTGGTAGCTCTTTATTTTCATGCAAATGTGAGGCAGCCTTGCAGGTTTCGCAGTGAGCAATGCGTGTGTGTGAGTGTGTGAGTGTGTAGGGTGGTAGTGGGGGGGATGGGGATGAGGTTGGGGGAAATGCAATTGAGGGATTTCTTTGTGAGGCCCTGACGCAAATCCCAAATGTTCTCAGGGCTGAAAACAAAAACAGCATGGGTGCAGCGGTGGCCCACGTTGGCCCCTTCAATAGATGCACCTTCTGCCACACAAAAGCACCGGGGCCTTTCTTTTTTTGTCTCCAAACTGTGCTCCCAGAATATTCCTAACAGTCCTGGTGTGCAGAGCTGGACCTGCAGCCGTCCTGAACCCCGTCCTGATGGAACCACGGCCTCTAACCCCCCACTTCTTCTTCTTCTTCTTCTTCTTCTGTTAGCGTAAAGACTCAGAGAGCAGAACTGACGTCCTGTGGCAGGAGTCCGGCTGCTGCCCGTGTCCCTGCGTCTGTAGACGTGGAGTCAGTGTACATGGTGGCATGTGGCTGGGATTAGGAAATTTCACTGTGGATTAAAATCCCTACCAACGCCTCCATGGCCACTCGCTGAAGGAACAAAAGGAGCGCGAGGTGCTGTTGTAGATCCAGCCGGCAGAACCTGGGTCCATGGTCTCAGTTCGCAGGTAGGTCCAACTGTCTTTAAGTTTAATTATCATTTAAACCAAAATAGTTTTTGAATATGTTTCACATTGTGTGCATGTTTTGCACAGCATTGACACCGGAAAACTTTTCTTTATTGACCAACTCCTCTGTCTTTTACTGAGTTGAAAAACTCTGAACTGAATGATGACATGTTGGGTTTTTAGTCAAATAATGCAACAAAAAATGAAAACTTTGTTTTATCTTAGAGGTAAAAGTCAGAAGTTAAGAGGTTTCTTTGCAAATGTCATGTGTAGAAATGAACTGAAGTGATTTGGTAAAACACAGACGACAGGTCTGTATAATGAAACCACTTGAAGTTAAGTTTTGACATCGATGTATTTTTAAGTTTTGATTTTTCTAATTTGTCCAAGAACAATAATAGTTTCCCTGACTTTTGCTTAATTACACTTTTTAGTCATAATAAAAACACACCAAAAACTTTTCTTCCCAGCAGAACTGATGCTGTGACTTGCTTTTCTTTGAAATTGCATGGAGTTTTCACACACGTTTCCACCAGTTCAGTACCAGCGCAAACCAGTTTAGCGCTGTCTTTGTTCAAACTAAAGGACTGCAGATGGAGATAGACATACCATGTAAAGCTGAAGGTTTCTGCAGCTTCTTAATCGTTCACTTTTGGCATTTACAGCCAGGTTTACGAGATGTTTTTTCGTACTGTAAATTACAAAAAAAAAAAAAACAAACAAAAAAAACAAACCCCTCTTGTTGCATTCCTTTACAGTAAACCATAAATACATCTCATTCCTTTACAGTAAACCATAAATACAGTCTTTCTATTGTACCACAGTCTTACTGTACATGACGCAGATTTAAAGTAAAGTATTAAGCTGGCATTGGTTTCTGTTGCCAGGCAGTTAATTCACTCACTCCTTCTGAAGCAGAAGTTTCTTTTTGCAGACGTGATGCTTTAGAACTTTTTCTTCGAAGTCTGTTTGAAGGTTGAGGCATTGCTTTATGAATTTCAAACTTTGATAAAGAATCTTTGTGCGTAGGTTTTTTAAACTTGTCCAGCAACTATTTTTCACAGTACTGTACTGTGTTAAACAAACTAGAGACAACAATAATGTACATATTTATACAGTAAAAAATTGTAAAATTGTACCTAACATTTGTATATCATTTAAATGTAAAAGTCCTTTTTCAGGACTAATTTTATTTTCACTCTTTACTAAATTCAAGTAGAATTTTTAAATGTACAGTATATACTAAGATTCTTTTCAGGACTAATTTTGTTTTCACTCTTTACTAAATTCAAGTAGAGTAAAGTAAAAAAAATAGTCAGGTTTTATGCATGTTTATGATTCATTTCAGTTTAAATGTGGGTTCTTTTAGAACTCTTTGTCACAATATGTCTGGCCCTGACATAATTTTTAAAATGTAAATTTAAAATCGTCTTTATGCTGTGGACAATTAAAGTCACATCGTTATTTAAAAAAGAGCTGGTGATGAAAGTTGTGCACCTACAGCAGTTTATACCAAACCTGTCTTTTATACTTTTGAGAGGCTTATGTAAGATCCAGAGTGGACCACGTGGGTCATATACTGCCACAGCCTGCATTTATTTGTGGGGCCCTTGTTGCTAGCACCGCTTTGTCCGCAGGTTCCATGTGGGCTCCATGGAAATGGTCCAGTTAAAGGCACGTTTTACTGATGTGGCCCAAATAAAACCAGATACAGCCTACATGCTGGGACTGCACCAATGAATTAACTACAAAATAAAAAGGTTTTAAAGCCTGTTCTATATGTACAGTGCGTGTTTGTGCGTGCGTGTGTGTCTGTTCTGAACAGTGATGATGAGCAGAGAGAAAACCTAAAAGTAATTTCACAGTAAATTGCATGCTCTGTGTTCTGTGCTGTAGAATTTATTCCACCCTTCAATCGCTCGAACAAACGTTAGCCTGGAGCTCTTTTCATTTTTCTCCAACAAAAAATAACAAACACATGGCTGAACAACAGCACATTACGTAATAAAATGTTTCCACGGTGGTTCTTATTTTTCGGCTGGTTTCATCATTCAGGCCTGAGGCCAAATTTAACCTTTATTCTTACGCTCAGTTGCAAACACATCATACTGTGGTGACGATGCTGTGAATACATGTCCATTCAATGAGGGTAATTTGAATTCAAAGTAATGAAGACTAACAACATGTTTATACGCTTGACAGAACTTGTAATTTCATTTTATTTTCTCCCTTTTCCTTATCAGCGATAGTGTTGTCCTATACAGGGGCGCAGCTACATCTATATCAACAATAGTACTTACCCCCCAGCCCCAAGGTAAACAGACCTGAGAGATAAATTTTACATTGGTATGTTAGAAATATAACTGTTTATTTAATAGATATTTTACTAATGCACTCGCAATATATAGTTATAGAGAGAGTCAGAGTTTGTGCTGGAAAGGCCTGAAAATTGTGTGACTTATGTGCGATAAAGAAAATAATGTAAAAATTGATCCAACTCTTACGTCTGTTCTTCAGCTCCAGGATGTTCTGGCTGCTGCAGGGACGTCGTAACTGCAAAGCCCGTCTGGTCAACAAAGACGGACGCTGCAACATTGAGTATGGTAACATCCAGTACAGGAGCCACTTCGCCTACCTGCTGGACTTCTGGACCACCTTCGTAGAGATCCGCTGGCGATTTGTTTTCCTCCTTTTCGTGGCATCGTTCACAGGGAGCTGGTTCGTCTTTAGCCTGTTGTGGTACTGGATCGCGAAGAACAATGGAGATCTGATTGGACAGAACCACACAGATGCACATGTGCAGTGTGTGGAAAATGTAAATGGTCTCACAACGGCCTTCCTCTACTCCCTAGAGACCCAAACTACCATTGGGTATGGGGGCCGGGCGCTCACTGGGCAATGTGCAGGTACGGTGGCTTTGATCGTTTTTCAGTCACTGGTTGGCGTCTTTATAAACTGTTTTATGTGTGGAGTCATTCTGGCAAAAATCTCCTCGCCTAAAAAAAGGGCGAAAACGGTTACGTTTAGCAAAACGGCCGTCATCTGTTTAAAGAAGGGGAATCTGTGTCTCCTGATTCGGGTGGCCAACCTTCGGAAGACCTTACTGATTGGCAGCCAGATCTACGGCAAGCTGCTGAAGACAACGACCACACCAGACGGAGAGACCATCATTCTGGACCAGGTGGACATTGACTTCATGGTGGACGCTGGTAAGGACAACTTGTTCTTTGTTTGCCCTCTGACCCTCTACCACGTCATCAACAAATCGAGCCCCTTCTACGACCTGTCGGCTGACACTCTGCCCCAGCAGGACTTTGAGCTGGTGGTCTTCCTGGACGGCATGGCCGAGTCCACCAGCTCCTCCTGTCAAGTCCGGACCTCATACATCCCACAGGAGATTCAGTGGGGCTATAGTTTCCTGCCCATCATCTCACGCACAAAGACAGGAAAGTACCGTGTGGATTTTACAAACTTTTCCAAAAGTGTCCGAGTGACCACGCCACACTGCGTCCACTGTTTTGAGAACGGCGCAGACAAGAATAACCACAATAATCACAACAACCAGCACCTACAGAAGAATGGCATCGACAACCTGGGCTTTCAGGCCATTGACATCAATGATTATGTGCATGTCACAGAAATGTAGTTGCAGTGGAACACACGGCACAGTAAATATAAACGTGCAGTCAGCGGGACCTTTTAGCCCTCTTTGATTAACTATTCCATTTAGGTTTCTTAACCAACCAACTTTCTGATAGAATATTATGTCACAGAAAAACAACTTTCTGAAAAAATATGCAACAAAGTGTGACATGAGAGCCAGCGGTCTGTTTGAAGGTTTGAGAATGTTTATCACCAGATATCACCGGGCTTCTATTGGACTCTCTATCCATCCATCTCAGACGGAATCCAAATTATATTTTGTGCAGAATGGAGTGAAAAAACCTCTCAAACTGTCTTGTCGTACTTTAGCACTAAGTTACTTATTTCAACCAACCGTGTGTCTCTTTGTTTTGGTGACATCTGGGCTCTGGAGGATGAAGGATACATTTTTTGATATGTAGAAAATGAAAGGATGTAAAATGCTGGCTACCTTTAGGTTGTACCTGAGAAGATGAGAGATGAAGTACTTTGTATATAGAAAACTCTGCTGTTACGGCTGTAGGTTTAAACTAATTCACTAAAATGTGTTTGGCTATTTTTCTGTGTTATGTCAAAGCATATCAGGTGCTTTGATAATTATTAAACTGTGAATGTACAGTAGTTGCCGTAAAAACACTGATTTTAACCATGGCCAGGCTTCAGTTTGTAGACTGAACTGTGTAACAATAAAACTCTCAGGGAAAAATACTGTTTTAGCCAAATTAATTTTATTTTACAGAACGAATAGTAGACGATACTAGTCATATTGACACAACCAGTGGTAATGTTGTCAACTTTTAATTATCGCCAAAACCTCAAAAAACGACCTTGTTTTCTAGTAGAAAACTACACAAAACCCAGGAAGTCCAATTAGCGCGTGACGTTGTATAAACGTGAGAATGTTGTGCAAGAGCCAATCAGAGCTATGTAGCTAGGTAAAGGACGGGACATATAAACGGAAATCCAATCAAACTCGTATCCGGTAGTAAAATAAGGCGAAACAGTATGAAGCCGTGAGCGGGAACATGAATATTAGTGTTAATAAAACGGGTCCGTTTGTTACATAGCGGGAACCAAACACGTCAGGTTGGACGGGTGTAGACGACCGTGTGACAAGAAACATGACAACTTTGCCAAGTTATCGGTGTTATCTACAGCCCTGCCATCCTGGGATCCACGCAGGGGTAAGCAGACGGAAGCCTGATGTAAAAGTTGTCGCGGCCTCCTCATTTAAATACAACTAGGTCCGTCTAAGTATACGTTGATGAATACTGCTATACTACAAGGTATTTATGATATCAAAATAGAATATTTTATTAACAGTAAAACGTAGAAATCTGACGGGCTCCATGTAAGACATTGTTCTCCAGGGCCGGAAGTCAAAGTGCAGAGCAAAACATAGCAAAATAAAAACGCGTTTGAACTAACAAGTAAAATAAAACTCACTATAATCTATAATCACATTTATAAAAACAAGTAGACATTTAAACAATACAAGCATCCTCATTAAAACACAAACCTGACCATCTGTCATCATGGCTTTTATTTTCTGAAAACATTTATTAGTATTTACATTTTTTTGTTCCAATGGTGGCGATAATAAATCGGCATTAAAAAACTGTAAAATACAATAGTATACATGTATCCTTGATCCTTTATAACATGGTTATATTATTATTGATCCTGGTGATGTTTTGTGTCAACATCAATATACAAGAGGTAGTGAAAAACAAATTAAAAAATGACATTAACACAGCTACTTCTCTTTAACTACGGACTTATCGCTTCAATTTTTGTTTTGGTTTTGGAAAAAATAAAAAAATAAAAAATATCATTCATGTTTGGTAAAAACATAAGGTTTGCACTGATTTTAAAATTTTTCATATTTTGAGGGTTTAAAAACCTGACTAAAATGTAACACAGTTGATGTGCCTTAACAAGTTTAAATAATTAAAATCTTTCACGTTTTAGATTGATAACATCCGTCTTAGAACTTGACTTAAACTAGTACAGGACCAGCTGCAAGGTTTCTTGCATTTATATATGTAACAGGTTTTGTCTTGAGAATATACATGGTTTTGCATAAAATAGACAGAGTTTCTCTGCAGAGGCTGAATTCCAACTCTGATTTACAGAATGTTTCTTTCCAGGACAGGCTCCTGCTTCATGATCCTGTCCAAACCAAATACACTCAGGTCCAGAGTTTCAAAGCCTCCCTTCAAGATCAGCTCAGCCAATGCCCGGCCCACACCAGGAGAGTGCTGCAGGCCGTGGCCGCTGAAGCCTGTGGCACAGTACATGTTGTTGATCAGAGGGTGTACACCGATGATGGCGTTCTGGTCCAAGGTGTTGTAGTCGTAGAACCCGGCCCAGGAACTGGTCACCTGAGGACGGGAGTCAGGCAAACATTTTTAAATGTCAATCTTCATGGTAAAAAGATGCAAGAGTTATTTAAAGTCAGGTTGTATAAGGATACCTAATTATTACTGACTGTGCTGTGAGTGCCCCCTGGAGGCTACAAAAAATCTGTTTTTCAACCTCTAGTGTTTTACCTATGCTGAAGTTTGTGTATATATTCACCCATTGTTTTTATTAACAAAATATTTTATATATATATATATTTTACATTTTTCCCAACAACTCACCTTAAGTTTTTCAAAAGATGGAACGCGATGAGCCAATTCCGGCCAAACCTTTTCTACAAAAAAGTCATGATCCACATCTAGATTACCTGCATCTGGCTCGTTTTCCTGAGGGAAATAAATAATTTGGTTTTTTTATTTCAATTTCTTTTTTAAACATTTGTGCTCAAATCCCTAACTAAAGATGAAGAACCTCGTCTGGTGACGCTCCTCCGATGTAATTTCCTCCCAACCCCTCTCGTCTGAAATACACGCCTGAGTAATCAATCAGGAAGGGAGTGTCCAGACCTGGTCCATCAGGGCAGTTGAACACATAGATGTACCTGGGAAACAGAAGTGAGTTCATCTCTCATAAGAAACTTTTTCAAAGAACATTTGTTTGTGTCCATAGGTGGATGAATTACCTTTTCCTGGGCTCCACAGGAAAAGGAATTCCATCGATGGAGTATTTGTCTCCTGAGCCAACTCTGAGCATTTCTGTCACTTTGGCTGAAAAGGCTCCTGCTGCATTTATAACAATAGCACACTCCACAGGCTGATACTCCGGGCTGTTGGGCATCTGAACCTGCGCAACACAAACCAACAGCAGAAACTAGTAAGAACTCACTTTGGGTTAATATCTGGGTTTCTTTTTTGCTGTTCTATACTGACTTTTACCTGTGGGAACTAACATTTTTGTTGCTCTGGACACTTTTACTTCTCTTTATCAATCAAGTTAATAAGGAAAACGAAACTAAAGAATTAAGTTTCTGTGTTCTAAGGCACGGATTCCCAAACATTTCCATGCCAAGGCCCCCCCACACAGCATAAGCGTCTGGCCAGGGACCCACTTTGCAAACCCACAGACAGTGTGTTATTCACTCTACAATATTTATTCCTACTACAGTTGATTACAGTTAAATAACGTTGATCTCTAATGTCACTGTTTACACTGGTAGAATTTACATGTGGTTTAGCCCCAAGGATAGAACCAGACTGAGCTGTTACTAATTAACAAGTTACAAGTCTCTGAAATGACCCGAGGTTGAACTAATTCACATTCACACACTTACTTTGACTGACTTCACTCTCCTCACCATCACGTCTTGATCATACATATGTGCCAAAGTCACCGTGTAATCAAAATCTGTGGAGACATCAGTGAACCAATTAAGGTTCCAAAGTTTTCAAGCACATTTCAAGACCCTATAAAGTGGTAATGTTGAGAGTATTTTATATGTATCTGTTTTTACTGCTGATACCTATGGACAAAGATTTATAAAATTCAAAATGGAACACTGTTTGTTTTTAGGGCGAAGGGTAACCTATAGTTATCATTGTGCTGTGGTAACATTGTGTTCTCTTTTGGATAATAATTTAGCTATTGAACACAAACCAGTTTCAACAATCTTAAACATTTAGTGCAACAGTGCACATCATGTTGTCACACATTAAACGGCACACAAGTTGTTGTTTAACATGTCAACCAGTACATGATTATTAAACAGAAACACAAACCGAGGCTGAAGGTATAGGAATACAGTCCTAACAAAACTGCTTTTTTTATGAGGATATAATTTAAGAGATCACAGCAGCACAGGCTGAGATGTGAGTGTGTGTTTAAAACAAACCTGTGACCTTTCCAGTGCATGGAATGACTCCCAGAGAGATGGCCTTCCTCTTAAAGCCATTCAGCAGAGACCAGGGGTCAAACCAGCCCTCGTTCTCTAATCCTGGTAAAGGGAACAGGTAAAAATGATTCAAATTCATAATTTTACAGCAAAGACACCCTTGTGCTTTCACTTTAACAATAGTTAGATTTGCTGCTCACAGTTTAGCAAGACCAAAACTTGACCTCTTCATTGGAGAGAGAAAAAAAATCGGTGGAGGTTTTGTTTTAGTAGAACTCACCATAGGAAGCCAGAGCAACACCATCTGTGTTTATCCATGGAAATCTTTCCTGGAGTTGTGTAGGAGAGAGGAGCGAGACTTGAGCTCCAAATTGACTGAAATCATATTAATATGATTATAATCATATCACGTTTCACTTAATGGAACTGTTTATTTTTAATTATCAAACAGAACTGCCAAAGTAAGAGTCACCACCTCTGGATGTGGTAGTTTTCCTCCATGATGTGAGCCACCTTCTCATTCGCTAGGAACAGGTATCCTGACTGGTTGAACTGCAGGTCCACAGGATCTTCATTATAAACATTAAGGTGTTCCTACAGAAAAAAAAATTCCAAACATCTATAGAAGCCTCAGGCTGATGTTAACACATCACTTATATAATAACACGAGGCTCTGTCATTTACTGCACCACTCACATTGACATTCCTCAGGAAGTCTGCTGAAGCTAGCGAGAGCAGGATGTTCTCAGGCAGAGAGAACTGCTGTCTGATTCCTCCAGCAGAAAGCACAGTGGAGGCCTGGGTGTACTACAGAGGGGAAAAGTGGATCAGGACAAGTGGAGGAACAAACTCCAGACATCAAACCGAAATGTGGAGTTAATCCGAGTTGACTTAGTCAGGAACATGTTGTACATAAAGTAATAGCTGAACGTACTACTGGGTCCTTCTCTACCACAACCACTCTCATCCCATTTCTACTGTTTTCCATCTTCTTCAGCCAGTAGGCGATGGACCAGCCCATCACACCTCCACCTACGATCACAATATCAGCCCGCTCTGGTGGCAGGTTGGGGTTGATGTAAAAGGGAGACCAGTTGCTGCTTGGCAGAGCGTCTGCAGCCTTCTTCTTCATTTCAACAAATGTGGTCTCCACATCTAACAAGGTAAAAACAACAGTAAATTGCAATGGAAAACAAACCCCAAAAATTGAATTGTACTAATCTAGAGAAGATAAATACTTGCAAAACAACTAAATGTGGCACATTAAACTCAGAAATGCAAAATAAAAATACAATAGGTGAGAGAAGTCGGCTACCATATAAGATCTACAGGGTTTTCTTTTAGTCCTTTGAAAATGCTTCAGTTTTCAGAAAAAGAGGGTTAATATAAGACGGAGATATACAATGTTTTAAGGATATCGTTTTCCTTAAAATTGTAAGGTTTTGCAGACTCTTCTACCTACAATTATTCGGATAATATAACTTTCCATGCGTATGTAATGAATACACAGCTCGTTTTAGGAGAGTTATAACTAGTTCGTATCGCAGAGATACGGGAGTATACACATTACTGATATCAATGGGTAACGGACACGTCACTGAAACCTTTTCCCGCACCTTTGAAGAAGTCTTTCCGCAGGGCTGTGCTCGTGCTCAGCTTCAGACAAGATGTCAAGTGTCCATGTGTCCAGGCATGTTGTCGTGTTACCAGTCTGGAGGTGAGCGGTGCATGAGCCGCTCGTACCTTCACATGTAGCCTCCGCCACGTTAGCATGACTGTGTGACTAGAGAGCTAATTTCTTGACTGCGAACAGAACTACAACAATGCGTAAGAAATACAACGACGAACACAAGGCACACAGGAATATATGAGTGTCATCTTAGATCAGGATGATTTTTTTCAAGTGTTATTCGACACTCAAGGTCGACTAATAACAAGAGATCGACTTAGCACCGGATGTCCAAAGGTGCCTTTCAAAGTAAAAGCAATGGTTCGAAAATAGAATTGCACTTCAGCCAACATCTTTTTCGTTTTATCATTAACTGAGTCCATCGACAATAAAAAATTGCGAAAACAAAATTATGGTCAATTTTATTATAAAATTAGGATAATTTAATATTTGTGTTTGTTAAAATGCATACATTGTCTGTTTAGAAATTCTCCCAAGTGAACAATTATAATTATTGGCTGTAGGCCAGCTAAATAAACATATTGCTAATGTTTTTCATGTCTTTGACAGTTTTCCTGTCAAAAAGATGTTCAAAGTGAAATACGTAACTAAATGAAACATTTTGCTTTGAAAGATGAAACGGTAATCTCTGTTTTGTTCCCGCAAACTTGACTTGGCGACAAAAAAAGAGGAGGTGGTAGACCGTGTGACGTAAGGACCAATCACTGCTAATCTATGGATAACCCGCCCCGTTTTTAACTGTATTGCACTTTTCTACCAATCTTTGAAACTTTCCCGTGACTGACAGTACCTGGTCTGTTTATTAAAAAAAATCATAAAAAAGTGGTCCTGACCTGACCATTTTACTGCTTCTGCTGGAGGGCTTTTGGGGTTTGGGCCCTCAACCTCTCCAGTTCCTTCTCCTGCTCCCTAAGTCGGACCGGGCTGCGCTCCATAGTTTGAGCACCGTCCACCACTACCTGCCTAAACCTCTTCTTTCACCTGAGAGTTGATCTCCTATTCCATGTTCTCCTGCGCCACCTTGTGCTTAGACATCCTTTCCAGCCTGTCCACGTGGCACTTTTCCAGGTCTTCAAAGAAGTTCCTCTGCAGAAACTCATACCTTGTTTCTCTGCTGTCATCGCTGAAGTCCAGCTCCATCTGCACGTGTTCATCCATCAGATACTGTGTGGTATTGTGAGGAGCCATTGGGTAGCTTTTGAAAGACGTCCATTTTTCTAGCCTGTCATTTCTGTTTCCCTCTGTATCTTCTTGAGCCTTAAAGTCTGTGCTCGAAATATTGTCAAATGGATCCTTGTTGTGACTGTTGTCGGTGGCACTGAGAACACTTAGCTGGTTTGCCTGACTTGTGTCCAAATCTGTGTCAGACCCCGATGTGGCAAGATAACCTTTGACCTCTGTCTGAATGTGGGGTTTCTGCTCAGGCTGAACTGAGTTCAGAAAGCTGTGCTGTGCAGCTGGAACAACACAAGTGTCCACTTGCAACCCATTTTCCTCCTGTTGCCCCAGCTTGGAGTCCGATCTTTTGATGCTGCCTGGGCAAGGCTTCGCACAGGCTTGGCTGTCATCTTACAATGAGACACATAGAAAACAGACAAGCCTGATTTACAAATTTAATTTACACAACAGATTAATTGCCCCCAAACATTGTGCACGTGATATAAAATATGAAAAAAACTTGAATAATAGAGCTTAGAAAAAGAGAAAAACTTTTAGCTGTGGGTTCGGGGGAGGGTTAGTGATTTTGTCATGGCAGTGATCTTCAATGTGAAAATTATGTCATGTCCATGTGTTTGGCAGTTGGCAGTTGACATCTAAAATGTTGTATCACTGCCATTTTTAGTCATCACCACCCAGTTGACATGGAACTGAAGGGTTCAGAGGAGTATTTCCTACTCATTTTGTGATTCCACAGATATTTTTTATTGATTTCAATGGATTTATTATGATTGACGTAGGTTTATGTTTTAAATTTTGTTGTTCATATGCTCTTAGTTTCTTTAAATGTATTTTTTTCTTAAAAACATGTAAAACATCCTTGTCCTCAAAAACATCCTCAAAAATGAAATGAGATAAAAAACATGATATTGATGTTGTATCTCCCTCTAGTGTCTTAAAAGAGAAATTGTAGCCCGTAACTCCAGTGCTACAATAAATATCACGTTTTTCTACATCTGCATGTTAAGAAAAATCGATTTAATTTAAAAAGTTGTCATTTACCTGTCATTTTAGACTGTTGTCACTGCTTACAGATTCTGCCTAGGGATTCAGAAGGTCACAGATGTGCAGAGAAATGACTCGAAGGGCCTTTCAATCCTTTGATACCTTAGAAAGTTTAAAAATTATTTTAAAAAGTTATTCAAAAGGGCATAAAATAATAAAGTAGGCAAGTGTTACAGAATGTAGTTATATCTTTATGCTAGCAGAAAGAAAATTACTCCAGTTGGTCCAGTTGAAGCTGATCATGTGGCAACACGTCTGATAGCTGGATGGATAAATAGATAGATGTTTGATCGTCTTGTCAATCTTAAATAACCAAATACATAATAACCAACCCTCCCTCTTTTTTCTCAATCATTTATTTTACGGCTCTAGGATCTAGAACTTGCAAATGTGACCATAGGAAAAAAAATCCTCACATTATGAAGCAATGGACCATAGGGAAAAAAATCCTCACATTATGAAGCAATGCCTTGTATACAACCAACAAAACTTTTCTGGCCAGCGCAGCACTTTCTGATAACTTTCTGTGTCATCACCATGCAACCACAGCCTGCAACTGAGGCAACATGTTGTTACTTCTTATCTAGTAGCTATGGATTACCCACCAATACACATGCCTTCAGAACTGGTCTATAATTAAAACGTTCCCCAGGGGTGGACTGGACCTTTCCAGGTTGTACCCTGCCTTCTTTCTAGAATCAGGCAGGGTTTGCTTCAACAACAATAATGACTATAGCAGCAACAACCGCAGTAATAGTAATCATAAAAAATAGTTATAATAGTAATAGTAATTGTAATTAAGCTTTGTTCGTTTTGGTTTTCGCAATAATCTTTCAAATATACTGGAAATGCCGTGCTTTTATTTTTATGACATGCGGAAGTTGGAGGTCGGTAGTGCTTTATTATGATAATGAAACCGGACGTATGTGGATCTGATTGCTTCCACTTTGACGCTCATGTTTTCTGTTCCCTGGGGCCACTGTGTTTTCAACGGGACTCAACTTACTACATACTGGACTCGCCATGGCCGCTTGATCGGGGCCGAAATAACCTCACCGTGTTTCACAGAAACTTTTTCAAAAATAATTTTTCGTCTTTTGTATTAGTTTTTATGTCAAGAAACGAGAATGCAACCCCCACCGAGAAAGGTGAGTTTTCTTTTTCTTGTTCTGGCCTTTTGAGCTAGCGTTACTTGTCGGGGAACGCTCTCGACGGTCTGGTGCATATTTAATGGTTCAAAGTGTACGCTTTGTTGCAGCCCCGCTGCTGTAAAATCCACATTGTCGTGGGTTTTATTCTGCAGAACTGCACCCGTTTGCTAACTAACAGTTAAACATAGTTGTTTTGTTTCATTACACAGCAGAAAATAAAATAAAGTTGTTTAAAATGGCCCATGTGCCGCTATTTTAAGGGGAGAATAGACCCCCGTTAATGTTCCCCCGCTCATTCTCGAATGTCCTGCCAAAACACAGCCGAATATTGACGATTTAAGGGATTTCAACGTCGACTTAAATTGTACCGCTCAGTGAAGACACTAACACGTAATAAGAAATAACGTTCCTCGGGTGTTGTTTTACATCGGCGCTCAAATGATTGGCGACGGGCAAGTAAATAGCACTTTTGGTCCTAGTGTTTCTGGTGGCATATGCAAGTCTGGAGTGAAGCAAGTACGAAGCAACAGCAGGCAAAAAGTTGTGCTGTCACGTCTATACAGTGTTGTCTGCATTTTTGCACATGCCGAATGTGAACAAGGGTCTTATTTTCTAAGCAGACATTAAATTGGACCAATCTCAGCTACTTCAGTATGTTTGACACACTGGAGCAGTGTAATAACATATTTTTCGCTGGAGTTTGGTGCGTTTTCCCCCTTCCTTTGTACGTGGAGGAAAAAAACGAAAACAGTCGATGTCTCTACAAAAAATAACTGCTGCTTTAATTAAGTATAAACAGGTCGAGAGGAAGTTGCTGCTTTTAAATGCTCAGGTGTGTAGAAAATAAACATTAAAACCGCACATTTCAACAAAGTCTGGTTCCGTTCGAAAAAATGTTGCTGTGGGATCAGATTTCAACAACATGGCTCAGCTGCACAGAAAAGGGACCATTTCGTCCCCAGCACTGTTTGTGGAGAGGATGCGTTCAACTGCAGTCAAAAAGTTATTGTTATTTATTTAGAGAAATTACAAAAACATTTTGCATTTAAAGTTAGGGGGCTGTCTGGCTTGATGACAGTTGCTCGTATGTGAAATAATCTAGTTATTTAACAAAAAAAATCGTTAAATATATATTGCAACAAAAAGTGCAATTAACGAATTGTGAAAAAAAGTGAACGACTCGTTTCTTTCTGTGTGAAATATTGATTTACAGCAGTCTTGCCCACAAAGACTGGGGTCGGGGACCCACAGATGGGTCATGGGATGTTGTGTTTATTTTTGCTTTAAAAAATAAATTCTATGCAATTTTAAAAACTTGTTTTCAGCCAAAAAAGAAAAAGTTAAACGATGGCAACAAATTGTTTGACTTTTTATATAATTTTTTAGGAGTAAGGTATATGTACATTTATTCAAAGCTTTCCCTTTAAGACCAAAGGAAAACTAAATTATGAACAGATGCCTTTATTAGATCCTTCTTATAACCCTAACACAGTTACTCCTAAGTGATAATTATACCTTTTGGACTTTGTCAGTTTGATACCATTGTTGTAAAAGCACAATAATTATGCATTAAGTTTATAGATTTATAATGAGGGTTCTCTGCAGTAATGTAATGCATTGTCATTAATTAAATCGAATTTTATAATAATAACACTTGGTTTTGCACAGTCATGTAACCCTAATTATAATCAGTTCGTTAGAAATAATTACTGTACTTTAGCAGTAAGCTAACCCATCCATTTCCATTGTGGAAATTAGAAATTAAAATTACTACTTTTACATGTTGTACCGATTACTGTACTTTAGCAGTAAGCTAACTCGTCCATTTCCCAGTATTGTGGAAATTAGAAAATAAAATTACTACTTTTACATGTTGTACCTCTACATAATTCCTAAAATAAACATTTTTTAGACTGCATAATGTCATCTCAAAGTACCTGCATCTGCATACAATTTTAATTTGATAAATTTATTGACCAAATTTATCTTGACTATAAAGAAGAAAGTCTTTAACTGTAAGCACTGAATTGAATTTATGCAGACAATACGACCACTGACAGTACAGTACATTTGTAACATAACACATCATTTTCTCATTGTAAGTAAGTCTATAAAATGACCACAACAAATGTGTTGGACGACCACAGCCCGGTTTACACTGTTCCTCTGCTCCTTACTTCCTTTTTTGTAACAACAACAAAAACAACAATGAGTCGAGTGTAACAATAAAAAAACAGTAATTCATGTAAACGTTCGATGTGAGATCTCACTCATAAGAAAAAACAATATAGGATAAAATGTAAGGGCTGCAAAAAATAGTTAGCGTCAATAAAATGTTTTTTCTTTTAATCGAAACTTTTATATAGTGTCTAAAACAAAAGTGAGATGAAAAAACACTCATCACTGTCATTTTCTGCAGGAACATATTTTTATTCTAAGTTGGGCTTTTCGACCAAAGGGAACGCCGCTTTCCTTATATAAAAACACATAGACACAGAGTGAAAAGATAAAGTGAATTGTGAGGTCCCAGTTCTGATATTTTATTCTTTATAATATTTTTGTTTACTATTGTTGATCGGACGTCGGTATTTTTGTTTACTATTGTTGATCGGACTAATGTACACATTTGCCATCCTGCTGGGACAGACCCAGATTTCTGTTTATCACTGTGAAACCCTAGAGTACTTCCCTGAAGATCACCTACTTCCTCTTCGTCCTTCTATTCATGAAGTATTTATCAGTCGCGTAAACAAATGATGGAATAGACCAAACTGTGGCTGAGTGAAAAAGTAAACTAAAAAAATGTTTCCTCAAATGTCGAAAAAGGTTTGACTTTTGTGCCTAAAACAGATCATCAAACTAAAAAAATGTTTCCTCAAATGTTGGGGAATAAAAGCTTTGACTTTTGTGCCTAAAACAGATCATTAAAGACAGTTTTTATCTCATCTCCAGTCGTGGTTCATTTACCTGAAATCTGAAATCATGGCAGAAACGAGCAGAAAACCACACTGTCAGCAACAAGAGCTGCTCAGTGCACTTCATAATTTTTTCAGCAGCCAATTAGAAACCCACAGAGGCCGATTCTCACCTGAGCAGAGCTGCAGTGTGATAATGAGTGCAGCTTGTTTTCACTGATACCAGTGTGTGATCTCAGCTGAGTCAACACTGGCCTCCGGGGTCTTTCTGGTAAACCTGTGGGGAATATCTTGTCAAATAGCCATGTGGTTTTTTTGTTGTTTTGTTTTTAAACGAGAATAAAGCGGGGAGAACTCTGACGAGACCTGTGGTTGTGTTCTTCCTCTAGGTCCGGGTCACCCAGGAGCTGAAGCACATTCATGCAGAGCAGATGAACCGATTGCACATCAAGCATCAGACAGAATGTGACCTTCTGGAAGACCTGAGGTGAGCTGTCAGAGGGTAGGCTGGAGTCCCGTTTGAGGACAGGGGTGGATTATGGTTGTCAATCCTAATCTGTACTTCATCTGGAAGGCAGACTGAACGCCATACGCCAACACACGGAGGGCTGTTACCAAGCTAGATCAATAGGCGGTTAGAGATGTGTCAGGATGAGTAGGAATGGAGCCAAATATATTTACAGTTGTTACCCAGAAGACAGGAACAACCTGATTTATGTAAAGCTCCTACATATGCTGTAGCTTCATACAGATGTATTTATTTAGAGTAAGCCAGAAGAGGATGTGGAAAATAGCTACATTTATTATTATATCGTAGAGTTTCCTTTACTCTTTTCCATTTTATTGATAAATGTGATCTCACTTAATTCTTAAAAAAATGTTTCTAGTGTTCTAGTAGCAGGAGCAGTGCTGCAGCTCCGCACTACTGTAACTGTAAAAGTCATGTGAAATGTATTTGGATGTAGAATAGGTTTATCTACTAAATCACATTAATGTGTTGCCCCCCTATCTCCACCCCATGAATTCCCCATCCTGGTACTAAATTTAGACACTCATCTTAACACATCTCACAGCACATAATTAAAGGGTTCGGCTTGTTTATGCTTCCATTCGTTGGTACAGCCGAGTGTTCGACGCCTACTGTAAAAGGAAGTCTGTTTTCCCACAGGCTTTAATTCATTCATTCCACCATACGGCTCTGTGGAACGGTGATTTTCTGAGAGGAAGTTGAGTGCGTTACGGGGTTTCCTCTAAAATCATGTCCACCTGCAGTTTTCACACAAAAATGACAGAGACACCAGGGCGACTTGACCCTCCTCTCAGGTGTGTACGTCGCCTCCGCTCAGAGGACGCCAGGTTTCAGTTGCAGTCGATCCGACAACCTCTGCTTCCCTTCTTCCTGTGTGTGGTTGGTGGCGAAGCTCTGAAGCTCCAAACAGCTGGAAGTTAAGGTCAAAGAGAGCTGCCAGATGTTCTGACGGCCCCGAATGGCTCATCGTGGGAGGTTCAGCAACATTACTCCTCCAGGAACAATGTTCGACTCGCAATGTTTTAATATTTGCCTACGGCTCACTTCCCGGCCATGCAGTGATTCAGCAAACTGGAAACGGCATGTTGTTGTCAGCAAAAGATCCAGTTGGGAAAATGGCAGGAAGTCAGTGAAAGAGAGGGAGCCCTTGGAATTGTAGGGGAAAAAAAGGGAAGAGAGGGAAGCTCCCAGGAAGTATGCCAGATTGTTTTGAGTCAGGGTGGAGCATGGCAGTCAAGTCTGGACATGTTTAATGACTTGATGATGATTTGGCAGCAGTTAGGATTTTTTTCCCAGGGCATTGACCTCTTTTCTTTTCTTAGATTTTTGTCCACATTTTACTCAACAATGCCTCCCCCCCGTGTTCCTGTTATTGTCACGTCAACTGCATAACAGTTAAGCACCATAATAAAAACAATAATTTCGGGACATACCTCACATTTCTAAATTTTTTTTTAAATGAATCCAGATGGATGTTCTCGGTTTATTTTGCCCCTGTGTTGGTCAGAACCGTGTGCTCCTGTGTAAACTGGAAGAAGCGTTTATTTTAAAACTGCCCCTGTGTTGGTCAGAATCGTGTGCTCCTGTGTAAACTGGAAGAAGTCGTTGTTTGAGGTCGGGTTAAAACTGTGCTGCTGTGGTCTTAGTAAAACTAATAAATGGCAGCAAATAGTTTGTAATTTTGTGTGTGTGACTGTTCCTCCAGGAAAGGTCCACACGTCATAGAAGAGCAGGAAATAAAAGGCATTGGAATTGAAGGTTTTTTGGACCCACAGCTGGACTTTCCCAGCTGACTCACAAGTGCAGCTACTGATGTCCAGTGCTGTTACGCACAGGGAGGAAATGAATGAAAGGATTTCAGATTCCGTACAGCAACAATATCATTCCTAATGGAACCTGTCGCATCTTCTCAGAATTCCTTGGACTGCTGCGTTGGCAAATCTTAAATGTTTGCCTGAGTAATGGAACTGAAGTCGAGCCAAACGTTCAAACCTCATTTCCAGAGAGCTTTCATTAAAAACTCAAATCTGTGGGTTGCCAGGTCATTTGATCCCTTGATTTAATAGGCAAAGAAACAGAGAGAATTTTTTTTGTGTGGTTTACTGACAAAATACTTTGTTGAAACTTTTTTTTGGGCTCAAGTTTAAGGAAAAATATAAATATACAAAAGGAGAAAGAAAAAAAAAGCTATTGCAGTTATATACATGTTACAAAAATAATGCATATTTATATTTAGATATACAAGTATTTTTGTTTTCTGTGTAGTATTACTTTAAGTAACTTGTAGCTCAATATTTGTAATCATTACTGTATTTTAATGATGTTCTCACTGTAGTCCGTGCCGTCATCGTCTCGTTTCTTCTTCCTTACAGGAGTTTCAGCCAAAAGAGGGCAGCCGTGGAGAGAGACTACGCCCAGGTAAGTGATTCCCGACACTTTGTGGCGCTTTTCTCACGCTGTTTAGTGATGCTTGCTGACACATGGCCGCCCGGGCCTTGTCATTGACGTTTCCAAAAATACAGTAAGTCTTTATGTGACAATATTGTCTGAAGACACCGTTTAAAACTAGGGGTTGAGGATGTGGGCCTAAGAAAGCTCTTATTTCTCATGTGGTCATATAATTCATGAGTGGTAAGAGACCACAGGAAAAACACCACAACAGAGAGAGAGAGAGAGAGAGAGGGATCCACTGGCTTGTTTCCTCCTCGCTGTGTTGTTTTTACCCACAGCTTCCTGAAGACGTCAATCTTTGGGTCTGAAAATCCTCTCCTCGTCGGCTCTGTTCAGGTTTTGCAGCCATGTGCGGAATGTCCAGCCCCAGTGTGAGGGGACGGGGGCATGTCTGCCGTTATCCAACCAGCATCTTCATATGTCTGTTTTTCCGTCCCCGCTCGGTCTCAGGTCTTTAGTTGGTGAATATCGTTTATTGAGAGTTATCCTGATCCTGACCACGGCATTTAGCATACTCAATCCAGTTTTATGGGCCACTCTCTCTCTGATTGGCTGATTGTACAATGACATAATTGTGGTTTGAAGGCATGTATGTTTTCACCATATAATTACCACAAACATGGTGCTTTCATCTGATTTCGGTTGAGCCTGGAATCTTAAGGTCAGACGGCAAATGAGGGCATTTGAACAAATGTACGTTTGCGTTATTATTACGGAGTCGGTTTTCAGTGGTTTGTTGGGAAGTTGACTTAAAGTTCACCAAGTTGTTTGATTTGCAACAGAAAAACAAAGGAATATTGACAAAGCAGGGACACAGACCAAGTCGACAGCCATGATGTCGAAGATGTAAACGTGGGGCCTGTGTTGATTGATGATGATGATGATGATGATGATGATGATGATGATGATCATCAGTCAACTAGAGACAAAGTCCAATCAGTGTTGAGATCTAATTAAAAAAAGACTAAAGAAAATCTGACAGAGACAAAGTCCAATCAGTGTTGAGATTGTCATATAAACAAGAGAAATAAATGAACACCCAATCAGAGTTACATTTGTTTCCCAGAAGGCGGGACATCTAAACAGACATCCAATCAAAGCACAGATGTTTCCAGTGGTGGAATAAACAGAAGAAGGTATGAGGAGAGGAGCAGGGAAGATTTGGTCGATTTGTGACACATTATGAACAAAACATTAAAAATAAGTTACACACTGACTCTAATTTAAATGTAGTCAAATAAAATACTTTTAGTCAGTTGTCAAACCCAAAGCTAAACTAAACCCAAACTAAAATTACTGCTCTATTGACTAAATTGGGTCTAAGTAAAAATGTCAAAAAAGTCAAAAGACTAAATCAGAACTGGCTGTCAAAAATGTACACTTGTGCAAAGTGCACTGTAAACAGACGAGAAACGTGAGAAACTCACAAACTTCTTCTTTGAGCTCATTAGCACATTAAAGCTCATTAGCTTATTAAAGCTCATTAGCTTATTTAATTGATCCAGCGGAGCCACGTTGGGGGGGGGGGTCTCTTCTGTAGATGCTAATTTCTGATTGGCTGGAGAGTTCATCTAAAATGGTGAACATGTGTCCTACAGCTGCAGCGTTACTGTAGACATCAGAAAAAAAAAACCCTCGACAAAGGAAAGGACTTTGGGAATGTACACGTGTCTACAAGAATAAAACAGATTTGGTACGAACTCATTTGTCATCTTCCCGTGAAAAGTTTGTCGCCCGTGAAAAGTATGTGGCCCCCGGGCCGGAGCTTCCATCTTCATGTACACGTGCTTTATTGGATACGCACGTCCAAGAAAATCTGATTTATCACACAGAGGATAACAAACAACCGATCTGTCCTTCATTACCAATTAGCATGCTGTAAGATCTCTGCGGGGGTCGATGCTGCATCTGCTCGACCTTTGAAGGAAGCATGTGTTCAGTTAGTAAAGACCCTGCTTTCTCACCGCTCAGACCGTTTGCTATTTTAAAATCCAATGAATCATCACTTTTATCAACAACAGGCCTATTGGAAAGGCAAAACAAAGCAGAGCAAAACAAAAATGAGCGGCAGCTCCAGTGATGTGAATAGTTTTTGCTACATTCACACTTCTGTTTTTTAAACGCGTCCAAGCTGCTCCACGACCACACCAGCTCCAAAACACAAAGGTTTAAACTGTAACAGATTTCTTTTCAATAAAAAACAAAAGAAAAATAACAGAAGTATTTGAGCTAAATGGAGAACATTTTTTTAATCCAGATATTGATTTGTCTTTTTTTTTAATAATGTTTTTACTGATTGTGACCAATACCAGTACTGAACCTTCCTGCCACTCACATTTTGAGCCCCATTTTGGCCTTTGAACCAAAAAGGTGATTAATATTGAAGTTCTTATATATGTGTTCTTTTTGTGCTGCGGTGATGCAACGCCACTTAAATTCACGCATTCAGTGTGAGCTAATAAAAAAACTTGATATTTGTAAAGTAATTAATAAGTGATTAATAACTGACTGTTTACACAGTTACTTTTTTTTATTATAGCTTTAGATTACCGTGTCTTTTGTCCCTATTGTTGAAAAGTGCGGTGTGTTTTTGTTACCTTTTTGTTACATGAATAATCTGACACACGAAACGTCGGCCGAAGCGTCCCTGGAACTCTTTGTTCCTTTTTCTTCTTTACAAAACCCCTTTTCTTAAATTTCTCCTTTATAAAACGCCGTACACCTGCAGCCTGCTGGAGGCTTTAACCAATTGCTATTCAAGTCACACAATGGGATAAAATGTCCTTCTCTGTGCTCCTCTTCCTCTGCCGTCCTTACCTCCCTCCACCTCCTCCTTCTTCACCCTTTTCCTCGCACTTTTCACAGTATTCAAGCATGTCCGCTCCACTAGCTGAATCTGGCTATTCCCTCTCTCTCTCTCTCTCTCTCTCCCTCTCTCTCTTTCTCGGTGCCGACAAAGGTCGGGTTTGTGGCAGCTCTGAGGTCCTGGCACTGAGACCCGGTTCAGTGTATCAGGCTTGTCTTTTCATGGACAGAGGACAGTCTTTAACGACACACGGGCCTCTTTCCTTATTGGATTTTTGTGTGAAGTGTGATTGACTGATAAACAAATTGTAGAAAGTTTATCTCCAAGCATTGGTGTCTGTGACCCTCTGGACCAAAGTCCAGATTAGCTAAGTTTAGCTGACCATCAGAGGACAAATGATTGTTAAGTAATAAATCTTTATTTTTGTCTGCTTGGAACACATTTTAAAGAATATTTGAAGACATTTTCCTTGTAAAATTGTGGCTGATTAATCAGTTCTGATGTATTTTATATTTTGACCCAATGAGAAAGTGGTCCACAACACTGGGTACGATCACAGATCCACAGTGAGGAGGAGGAGCCTAATATATCTGTCACAGTGACTGTGGGAGAAATGAAAAAAAAAAAAAAACTCAGCTCTGGTTAACAGGTGAACGGCTGCGTCCAGAGTCGAGTCACGTTGAAAGAAGACATTTTTGATTTTTGTACTGACACGACTCTTTATACGCTGGGAAAGACATGAAGTGTCTCCTCGTGCTTCCGTCTCAATGATCCGGATGGGCCCAGTGGTTTATAGGACAAGGTCACTGAGGGTCACAGACTTGTGGGCATGTTCTTTGTGAAGATGAGACACAGGAAATGTGTGCTGGTGTCAAAGGTGAAAGGTCATAAATGCTTTGCTCTCATTCCTCTTCTCTTCCAGGCCCTGCAGAAACTAGCGAATCAGTATCTGAAGCGGGATTGGCCGGAAAGTGTGACAGAAGAACAGGCAGACCAGAGGTAAACTCCGACCTTCGTGTACCAAAATAAAAAAAGTGCTAAAAGGTTTATCTACAGCCTCTTCCTGTGGTTCCTCTTCTCCAACTTTTCTTGTTATTGAGTTTTGTCTTTCGACACAAAAATAATCCAAAAATAAGGTCAGCTCACAGGTGTGAAAATCATTTTGTTTTTTGGAAATGTGTATTTTATTTGTCTTTTATAAGAAGTGTGTCTTAATAATATTAAGTAAAATAATCCTCTTGTTTCAACTTGGTCTCAATTTACATTTTTTATATGTTTTTAAAGCCATCTGCTGCCACCCAGTGGAAGAGCATTTAACTACTCTGCATGTCTCCGCCGCACAGACAAACAAATACAAATTATTGGCATACATAAGTAATAGTTTTGCGATCAATTAAGTGAAATTCGATCATTTTCCACAGCACACCTGACCATGTCTCATGACACACCAGTGTGCCACGACACAGGGGTTGAGAATCACTGGTTTGAACATTTACAATTTAAATTTCAGCCCATTGAAAAACCTGGATTTCCATCTGTTTCAGGAACATGTATTGTGTGTGGAAGGCGTATCTGGAGGGCACAGTCCAGGTCACCCAGGCCAGGATCGCAACCTGCGACAACTACAAGGTCCAGATTGGTGACCCGGTTAAAACGGCCAGACTACAGAAGGAACAGCAGCTGAGAAAGGTAAACCACTCACTGTCAGGAATCTGTTCAGGTTTCAACTACAACAGTGTGAAGCTGCACCGTGTGTCATTAGCAGTTTATATGTCTCCGTTTTTACAATCCAGGTGAGATAATGATGGAAGTCAGATAAACCGGGCTCAGTTAGGAGTTAGCGCCCAGCCAGTTTGGACTTAACAATGACGGCACGTTTTCCTCGGCCTGGTCAGTCTCTCTAGTTCACTGTAAAACCACAGTGTTCCCACAGAGCAGACCTGAAAGTCATCGCTTCCACTCACTACACGAGGCCCGTCTGTGTTAACTGGTAACTATTTGAACGTCACTGGAAGTGCCAAGAATTAGTATTCACACCCGGTCTTTCTTTACAGACTAGTTCATCTGTTACCGATTCAAAAAGCCACTCGAGTTCAGAAGCCCCAGCATCTACTCTTAATCATTTATAAACAGCTCGTTTTACTTCATTCGCAGCAGTGTGCTTCTTCAGGTTCAGCCTGTTCCCTGGTCATGAGTTCTGAGTCCACCTCCACACCGCCTCTCTGGTTTCTGCCAGCCACGTTCCGCTGCCTTTCAGCCCACAATGCCGCTCTTGTTCGGACTCACAAATTCTGACATTCCATTATAGCTGGTGTACAGCACATCCTTATGACATTAGTGGTGCTGCAGATAAGATTAAAGCCCGTTTCTGGCCCGTTTCCCAGCTGCTGCCACATGTTCAGTAAATGTCCCCCCTTGTTGTCCTCGCCGTCCTCAGTGTATCGAGCAGCTGACCGTGGTCCAGACCGAGCTGCAGGAGTCGGTGAAGGACCTGACCAAGACCAGGAAGAAGTACCAGGAGGCCGAGACCATGGCTCAGGCTGTCAGAGAGAAGGCCGAGCTGGACGCCAAGTACGACCCTCTGTTTCTCTTCTGATTATTTCTATCATTATGAGTGTTTGAGTTGTCAAAGAGAACATTTAAAGGTTGCACCGTTAACCCTTTGCACAACAAAATGTTGAGAGTGTTTTTTTTAAGTCGATATTATCAGAAAAGGAACTGAGATGTTTCACAGTTCACGTCATGAAACATCACAGATTTCACCTAAAATAAATTAATTGTGTTACTCTTCTTTGAATTATAATTTCAATTTGTCACGTTACATTTTTATTAATCCCAAATTAAAATGAAAATTAAATTTAAAAAATATTAAGCTTTCTTCGGAAACAATCTGAAACCTGTCGAGTGGATATTCTCACATTTTGCTTCTTCTTTCCACATCTCACTTTTTGCGTAATTGTGTTGAACCACAGCTGGTTTCCAAACTGCTGTTGTTGACACAATCATATTTTTTTACTTCAGTTCCCTTCAGGCGAACTTTCTCACTCTCTGTTTTTGTTTAATCCTGCAGTGAAGTTCAAACACACAATTGAAGTTTGCACCAAACAAACCAGATTTCTAACTTCAGGGAGGCTTTGAAAAGAAAGTGTAAATATTCCTAAATTACAGTTCCACGGCCAAGGAACATTCAGAGTGTTGTTCCTGCTGCCACTGGAGCTCTCCCTCTCATCTCTCCTCCCTTTTCTCCGGCTCTTTTCTTCTCTCTCTTCTTCTCAACACTTTGTCCTGGCACAACATGAGCAGCAGGCACTTTGACTCACCACATTGCAGACATTTTTCGGCTTGTCAGAAAAGTTTATTATGAAGCCTCGGCTCGGCTCGGCTCGACTCTGTGATTTTTTTTTCCCTCTTCTTGAAAGGCTGAAGACCTGGTTTGGCTTTTTAGCACTAATTTTAACACGTACAACTTTGTAAAGTGGTTTTCTGTGTATGAACACAGTCATGTGACACGTAAACGTGTTGACATCCAGATGTGTTTCTTTCAACCGTCCAATGTTGACAGTTAACAGACTCTGTGTTCAAACGCCTGGATGTGTTTTAAACCTTTGGTGACTACATTCTCTTCTCTGTTCTAACACTCCACGTGCTGCACAGGGTTTGTCAATTTACTTTTTTTTAAAAAAGGGAAGGTATTTGACCAGATTACCAAATAAAACAAGCTTTGGATATTTTGAAACATTTCCATCCTATGTGGTAATGGGATTGCTGTAGATCTGAAATCACAAGGGGAAGACTCGACATCTACCCCACTCTCCTTGTCTATGAAATATCTGAAAACACCCTTGTGCTTTGGTAATGTGGGGCTTTACGACTCTGTCTGTGGTGCAGAAGGTTGTCGGGTCAATATCCTTTAGTCTCCAAATCCCTTGAGGGTTAGGGTCAGGAAGTGTGGTGCAGAAGGTTGTCGGGTCAGTATCCTTTAGTCTCTAAATCCCTTGAGGGTTAGGGTCAGGAAGGGCATCTGGAATCACTGCTATGGCAACCCCTGTGATGAAGGATCAAAGTCAAACGTTCAATCAGTTGAAGAGAATTAGTGGAAACTTACTGGATAAACATAGAAATGAAGATGGGGATGATGTCCAGCAGGTTAGGGTGATAAAGGAAAGAGATGGAAATGTACTCCTGAGTAAATAAAGTGTTTTGTTGTCAGGGAGAGAGTACTTTGAGGAGGTGGTAAATAAGGAAAATGAGAAAAACATTTGGTGGAAGGAACTGTGATCCGTGAGAGCAGAGTAAGAAGACGCCAACTCCTGGGAATTGGAATACATTCCTGGAGAGTGGGAGAATGCCCGAGGAATGACGATAGAGTACAGGTGCTGATTTTAAAGAAACAAGAGAAAAAGAAAGCTCAGCCTTCTTAAGTGCAAAACTGTAACCCTCTCAGTTGTTGAGTTTTATGGTTAAAACGTCTGTTTCTGACTGTGACTTATTTCTTTCTCTTCAGGTCAAAGTTAAGTCTGTTTCAGTCCAGATCCAGCCTTCAGAGGGCAAGCGTGAAGGTAGGAGATCTCCGTGTCTAGACATCCAGAAATGGTGCTAAATATTTTTGTGCCTTGGTCAAATATCAGCATGAACGTCTGCGTTGCAGCTCAAAGCTAAGAGGAGCGAGTGTAACTCCAAGGCCACCCATGCCAGGAACGAATACCTTCTCACACTAGCAGCCGCTAATGCTCACCAGCAGCGCTACTACGACACAGACCTCACGGACTGCATCAAGGTGAGAACTCTGGCACAGAGACGGAAGGTGAACATTGAACAAAACAGTGTGGTTCTAAACTCGTGTGTCCGTCCGTGGTCCACAGGTCTTAGACGGTAGGATTTATGAGCAGGTCAAAGATTACCTGGTGGCTCTGTGTCAGACCGAGCTGGAAACCTACCAGACTGTCCACAACACCTTCAACCAGCTGCTGCACAGCTCCAATGGGGTAAGTCTCCAAACTCACCGGACCGTGACCGCCTCATGTGTGAATATGCTGTATTCATTAACTTCCCGAAGAGGTATTTTCTTTTTAAATTTGCACCTTTTTTTTTCAACGCACGTGTAAATTTGTGATAAATGTTGTGTTGAGTCGGTGGATGAAATTATTTCTTATGATATTACACAAAATAACCAGAGACCAAAATAACATGAAATATAGGAGAGAAGAAAAAAGCCACTACACATTCCAAATTTTACTCATGTTTTCCCAGACTCAACAAATATTCTCTTCATCAAAAATGTTTGTTGAGGAAATTTTAACATTCCCAGGCACAAGTTGTTCCTCAAATACTTTATTTTACTGCATAAGCAATAAAAAAAAATACAAATAAATGGAGCGCTTTTTTGTTTTCATAAGCAGATTTCCTCTTATTCATAAAACCTGGTATTACACCTACTTCTTGTTAATGAAAATCATTTGAGTTTTTTTTTCTTCTTATTCATAAAACCTGGTATTAAGCCTACTTCTTGTTAATGAAAATCTTTTGAGTTTTTTTTTTTTTCAAACCAGGATTTTTTTTTTTACAACCTGTACTGCGACCTCTAGTGGTGATAATCACTTTGTTTGTTGTTTTGTCAGTGTGTTGTTGACTGTGGTGTTTTCCAGCTGTGTTTTGTTTTTTTCACACTC